CCGTTGCACGAGCGCCTCGGCTTACGCGTGCAGCCGGTAAGTGAGCGTGGCTGTGCGGCCGGCGACAAACGAGCGGTTAACGCTCGTAGGTGGTCCCGGCCGCGCCAGAGGCTGGCACTCGCCCGATGGCTTCCGGGCCACCCATAACTAAGGCCCCCGGGGGGCTAGCTCGCGGCTCGGGGCCGGACGGGTGGTGGATTGCCATGCGGGCGCCGGCGAAGGTGAGCGCGGGGTCGGGGCATGCGGACAGGCGGGTAGCAGTGCCCGGAGGTCGCAGGGGCCGCACGACAGGCTGCACCGGCCCTAGGGCGGTCGGCGCTCCCGCTACCGCAGCCTATCGGCCGGGTATACGACGAGAAGTTGCGCGGGAGGCGGGCCGCCGTTCGAGCGTCGACAGGCGGGCGGGGCGAGGTCATAGTGACCGCGGGGGGCCGCCGGCCCTCGTTGTGTCGACAGGCGAACGCGCGTGTGCGCGCTCGGGACCACGAGGTGCTTGTAACAACGGGTTACAAGCGGGAAAGGTGGTCAGTGGCGGTCAGGAGTTGCTGAAGCAGTTTTCGAGGCAGATTACGATGCGTCATGTACGCGTTCCAATGCTTATTCCACGATTTTGAACGATTTCCGGATACATCGTCACCAAAGTAGTCGACAAGGCTGGTGTACATTGGACACCCTCCCGCAATTGCGCGCTTACGGTTGGGCATCCTGCCGGGGTGTCCCTTCGAAAATGTTGCCGCTGCTAGCATGAGTAAAAGAATCATTGACTGCGAACGACACCCACCACTCCATTGTGGTACCGCTCCTAGATCAACCAGGTCCAGATAGTTTTCCTTCATCTCTACCGCCTCAACAAGGTACAATCCGGCGCACCTCGTCTATGCTGACGCTGTAACAGTCTGCGCAAATGGCAGAGTCGACGGTAACCCAACGTATGGGAATGACAAACCGGCCGTCCTTGAGGCGACAGAGTTCGTTGACATAGAAATGGGCATTTCCGGCATCGTACATTGGACTCAGTGCGTCGAGGTCCATATTCCTCCTCCATTTCTGCGCATGCCAGATCTCGCGAATAATGCCATCAGTCGGTACTTCTGGGTAGACACGAATGTGCTTCCGAATTGCGGGATTTGCCCAATCCTAAATAGTCATGAGCATGTCTTCAACAGGACAATGAACTCAGATATGCTCACATGTGCAATAATTGGACAAGGATCATTCATGAAAAAGACATTGCCTAGCGGCGACATGCAAGGGAGAGTGGGGATACCCGATTCGGCGCGAATTTCCTTCTGAACGCGGTTGAGGCCTTCGAGAGAAGGGACATCTTGAGCCCCCGTTTCGTGCATGATCCACAGAATAACGCGCATGAGAGATTTCGAGACCCGCAGTCGTGGCAGGTTGTCGAGAATATCAAGGAGGAACATCTGCACCATGTTCAATTCAGAAAAAAAAAGAGCATCTCGAAAAGGGCAGAAAACACACTGTTTTATTCGGATATGGAAAGTATCCAGCCGTTGGCGCGGTTCTCTGGGTGCCAGCAGCTTGAATGTCCTCCTCAGTAGGCCCAGCAACACCTGTAAGGCAAATTAGATGAAGGATGAAGGCATGAGCAAAATGGACATTGACAGCAGAATCAAGTCCGCATGTCACATGTCCGCTGTCATCCCGCGTTGACGACAACACCCACCTGCATTGGCCAGCAGCTCAGCGAGGAAGTCCTCCTCCTCCTCGGCCTCATTTAGCACCTCCTCCACCGTCCCATCTCCAAACCCCAACCGTCGTGTTACTCCCTCCGGGTCCCACAGCCCAAAAAGCTCCACCTGTCGATCCAAGAGGCTGTGAGCCACTCGACTGTCTTCAGTCGTGTCCAGCCCCGCACTGAAGGCTGCCCCGTCCTCCTCATACGCGCGCCACATCTCAGCCTCCGCCATACTTGTAGCGATGGCGGCGTCCGGTTCGGCCTTCCGGTTCGAACCTGAACCGGACCGAACCGAACGCACGTTCAGGTTCAAAGTTCAGTGCAAGGCCGAACCTGAACCTGAAGTTCAGTTCGGCGTTCGGCCAGTGTTGGCTTGACCTGAACCAGGTCCGAACGTGTTCAAACGCCCGAACGCCGGAGGGGCCGGACCGACGGCATAAGGTGCTCCGGATGACAAAAATCCCGAATGGAGTTACATGCCGGGAGCAATCAGTGTTCCTCCGGACAGCCGCTGACAGAAGGTGGGTGATTCTGTGGCTGTTATCCCCACAAAATTGATACACCCTAGCCCGGATGCCCCCGACAGCAACTGGCAGCAAGCACACAGGGCCATCCACGGCCTGCTAACTCAAGCACGCTGCCGTTGCAGGCCCGGGGCATCGATGGGGATGAGTGTGGGCCACCCCGGATAGGCCCGCGGGTGCGCTGGGGTGGCTTATTATGAACACATAGGTTCAAGGTTCGAACCGGTTCTGAACCTGAACCGAACCGGATTGAACCTGAACACCAAGTTCAGTTCAGAGTTCAGGTAAAAGCTGAACCTGAACCGAAGTTCAGGTTCGGGGTTCGCCGAAAAGCGCCCTGAACCTGAACCGAACCGAACCTCGCCATCTCTACATACTTGGCACACCCGCGACACGCTGCATCGGGACTGGGGCGAGGATAGGGTGGGGTGTTTGTTGTAGCGCCACTCGGATGCGAGCAGACGCTTCACGCTCTAACTCCAGGTCCTTCAGTCGCTGCTGCCCAGCGCTGACAACCGCCAACGCTTTACAATGGTCTGCTGAGCCCTCGTGTTTTGTTGCGCTCCTCCGCGCAATCCACATGTGCCGTTCTGGGGGGCTTCCAGCAGAGCAAGCTCGACACAAGACTCGGTCGTCTTCACGGCGTGTTATCCAAACTGCAACTGGTGAGTGTCCTGTGTGTTCCCGTTGCCGCTACTGATTCGCACCGTCTTCATTTAGCCCCGCGCCACTTCCTCGGGCTGGCATTGGTCGTCCACAAGGCGAAAAGTGAGACTCCCCTCTCGGCAACTTTCACTCCTCCACCCCCCCCCCTCCAGCTATTGTCCAGCCATCCGAATCATCCCTATCACCTGTCCACCACATGTCCACCACCCTGAATCGTATCGAAGACTTGTTCGTCCCAAATCCGACCACAAGATCATCATACGGCGTAAAACTACTCAAAAAAGCGCGACAGCACCCCCAATCCTCATCAACGTGTTTGTTCCACGCACCCTCAATGTCTGAACCCAGTACCCCCACTGCCAGTCGTCTCAACAACATCTTCGGTGCCATGCAGCAACTCACGCCTGAATTCGCCTTCAACCCCGGCAGCCTTGATACTGGCACAGACGAGCTGCAACCCCTCCCCGGTCTCAACCTCATTCCGCACCAGAACGCAAGAGAAGTCGTTGAACGATTTGCTGCCTCATGTCAGCTTCATCAAGACCAGACAGCCGAATGCGTCGGAACTCTTGTGGTATGTTTTCTTCGTTATTTCATATGCTAGACTTAAGCAAATCGTGCTGTAGGAAGCGGAGACTGTGGTCCTTGCCAAGATCTTGGCCGAGGTCATGGCACTCAAGAACTTTGTCGGGAACATCATTGTCGCCACGCCACCATATGCAATGTCGGATGCTACTCGCGTAAGTACCGTCCCATATGTTAGCATATTGTCTGAATACTTTCTTAGCGCGGCCTTACCAAATTCGGTCTTGCCACCCTTTTGTCGACACAACTCAGTGCTTATAAAGGCAAGACCCCAGTCAATATCATCTTGGTACGAGTTCCTTTCTGTGATACGTTGGCTGACAGTGCGCAGAACATTCTCAAGCATCATCGTTTCGACCTCCCTCCCGGTATTGAGAACAAACCAGCCGATTACGAGACAGTCAAGAAGGAGATCCAAGAAATCCTCACCCAGCTCCGCTCGAAGATTAAGAAGCAGGTATGTGTCATGCTCGAATACTTCTGTGTCTGATATATTCCACATAGGTCGCCCTTTCAGTCCAGTACAATCGCAATGACGACACCTTCGGTCCGGCCAACCAACACGTCAACGTTTATGATCTTGCGGAGGAGCTTGTGGAAGGCACCAATTCTGTCGTCACTATCGAGCTCTGCGCGCGTGTAGCACTCATTGTAAGCTGCTCTACTCTCCCATCCTTGTATTGTGGTCTGATTAGATGGCAGCGCGACGTTTACATGCAGCATCGCTCCCACCCCAAATTCTGGAACAAGGTTGACGAGTACCTTGTGGCAATTCTCACGCAGGCGAAGGGCGATACACGCATGATTACTCGGTAAGCCCGAGTTCTCTATCTATCCCTGTACATTTCCGACCCTCTTCAGTGCTTTCCGCAACATTCTCGAGCACGACCGCGCAAGTCATGGTGTCAACAATTACACAATCAACGCGACTGTCGGTGACGCTGTTCAGCAGCAGGTTTCGAGTGTCATTGATGCGACGCTGATGAATGCAGCCTCCTCTGCTAACGCCAACAGCATGGACACTACCAATTAGCTATAGATCTACATGATGTAAATACATATGTCAAAGCCTTATTTGAATGTCCGTTGAAGCTTTTTGTATGTCTGTTGAAGCCTTGCCACAAGGTGGTACAATAGCGCTGGTCCAGCCTCCAGGTTGCCGCCAGCTGGACCTGGCCACCAGCTGGTGTCATTTGTGACCGACCCCAACTTCCAGCTGCTCACCCCCTCTATGCCATCCGACGACGACAGATGTCATGGATGTCAGATTCAGCCGCTGACCGGGTGGAGATCCCGTTGCGGTGTAGGTCATAAAGGCTTACTTGGCTGGGGTAAAGCTTGGATTTTTAGAAACGAAATATTTAAAGTTTTCAAATGCGTTTTTAGGCTCAGAAAAATTCCCCAGAACCCCAGTAACCCAAACAATTTTGAATCCAGGCTGTGAAGCTGTTGATCCACGTGACAACGCGCGTGACGTCTCGTCACTGTGACATTGTACGTCATTTTTTTTTTTTCTTCTGACGACGATGCGCTCGCCGCGAGTGCCCCTCGAGCTCATCGCTCTTGTGGTGGAAAACCTCTCTGATCGCGACTGCCTGCATAACTGCGCCCTGGCCGCGTCCGTCTTTCTGTACCCCTGCCAAAAGCGGCTGTATGACCAGCTGTCGCTAACCACGTCGATCGACGACGGCGCGGTCCTCCCGGTGAGGGAGGCATTGCGCCCTCTGGGCTCGCTGCGCCCGCTGCACACGTATGCCGAGGCAGCCCGACATTTCGCCGCTGCGCCGCATCTCGCGGGCTACGTGGCGATGGTCTACGTGGCTATAGAGCCAGAGTCTGGGGACCGTGACGCAAGCGAGACGGCGGAGATGATTTCGGCGCTCTTGGCGGTGCTGACGGGGGTGAGACGGTGCTGTCTGTTGGGGCTGCAAGAAGAGGCGGTTGTGTGGGCCACGGTGGCGGGTGGGGTGCGGGATGCGCTGCTGGGGTGGCTGCTGGCGCAAGGGACGCTTGAAAAGATCACGGTGTACGGCGTCGTGAGGCTCCCCCGGGCTACGCTGCACGTGCTGCTCGGCGCCAGCCCGTCGCTCCACATTCTCCAAGGCGACGTCGATCACGCGAACAGTCAGAGTGCACTTCAAGTTTCCGAGGAGCTGGAGTGGATGCGGCGGGTGGCCGCCACGGATACGCGCGTGATGCTACTCGAGCTCGCTGTCGCGACCAGTCCGTTGATTGACCGCGTGCTGCAGCAGCCCGAATTCGCGCAGTATCTCAACCAACTTCAAGTTCTGAACACGAATATCCAAGCGATGCCGCTGAGCACCGTCTGCTTCTCGTCTGCGGCAACGATCGACACGCTCAAGCTCGACTGTGTCCGTGCGTCGGGTATTGTTCTATCATGTGGCTGGAACTGACTACCCATTAGACGCTACAAAAGATAACCTGTTTCGGTTTCCACCCTCCCTCCCGCTGCTTCAGGGCCTCCAGCTGACCATCGGGCTGCACCACCTCGCCGACAGTCCACTTAGCGACTTGCTTTTCCTCCCACAGCTGCTCCGCGCTCTCAACGAGGACACATCCTGCCCGAAACTGCGTACCATCACATTTATCGTCCTGTTGCAGGACGACATGGTACCGCTCTCAGAAGAAATGCTGAGCCAACTTGACAAAACGCTGCACGCGTTCACATCCTTAGCGCGCGTGCGCTGGCTGCTGGTGGCCTCGGAGCTGGGGCAGAGCGACGACGACGCGATGGAGGCGTTCCGGGAAGACATGGTGCGCGGCCTGTCGAAGATGGCAGCGGTGGGAAAGGTCGTCGTCCAGCATTACGGCGAATAAAATGGGCACCGACTGATCAGCAGAAGTTTTATAAATGGTTCACAGGTTGCCTAGTAGCACAGCTCCGAGTCATGTTTGTCTTGATATTTTCTTGGATATTTGACAAATGTAAAATAAGACAATCACACATTGCAACATTATTGTCCTTACACAGCTACATCATAAGGTATTCGCCATCCATCGTGTGTCAACATCACATGCGTGACACTGTGACCTTCTTTTTTAGGTGCAACGCGCTCGAGGTTGTGGCCGGAATTTTTTATGGAAATTTTTCATGTTATTTACTTTAGAACTACTTATAAGATCAAGGGGGTGTCATTATTCGAAAATCGGATATACTGTCAAAAGGTTTTTTAAGGGCCTTCTGGGGACCCCCTTACTATATCGGGTAATATATTCCCATGATCGCTCATCATGTGATCTGATGATGTGATCAAAAGTTTCATATTTCCTGTTAAATTCATCAAAATACTATTACTTATTTGAGTACATCATCAAAGATAAAGCTAGGAAATGTCCGATGGCCATGGTAACACTTAGATGCCCATGCCAGCTCACGACCAGAGAGTCCAAGATGTCCATACCCCTGCGCAAATCGATAGGTGTGATTGACGTACCTTCCAAATTGTAAACCCTACATACAAGCCAAACAGAGTAAGCTGATCTATGCTTACCGATGCATTAAGAGTAATGGAACATGATTTAGAGCATCAATAGTGTTCCGCTCCCGGTCATCCTCCTTTGATGACTCAGGCTTCGTCCGATACAACCGCTTAGCATAGCCCCAGACCATTTTAATCGGGTTGAGCTCGCAATGAAATTTAGGAAGAAACAGAACTTCCATCCCAGATTCAATGCAAGTCTGCTCACGAATTGATTTGACGGAAGAAAAATCAGGTTCATTGAACAAAATGCGCCGGCAGCAGCAGCACGCAGAGGCTGTGATGTCCTTATATTAAAAGTTGTGGCATTCAGCTGGGAGATCAGCGAACTGTGTTAGACCACGCTCGATTAAGATTTGTTGCATGCCTTTGAATTTACCATGGAATTTGTTGTTGGAATGATTATCTGGCCAGTAAAGGTCTTGTGGCATCCGGTTAGGACCATGGTAGGCGGCTGTCATCTTTATCTTGTCCTTGACAAGGCACCCCTTCATGTCGTATACCAGATGGCCATCGACACATTGATTGATTTCGACTAGAAAGTTGGCATCGGGATTTTTGGAGCTGCGACTGCCTGAGGTAGACTTGGGCATTGCCTGTGCCGACAGTGCACCGTCAGCTTGCTTGCGGTGTGTTGTTGCGTTATCGTAAACGAAAACATGATTATATTCAGGCCAAGCTGCTTTCACGATTGCCATTGCCTTCTCCGCTTGGGCCAAGACCTTGGCTGTGGTGAAATAACCATCACGATTCTTGCCTGTACAGATTGCCTCCCGAGCGTGGGCACCAGTCGGTGGATGAAGCCAGCCAAAATCGGCGGAAAAGTAATCAGCAACCATGTAGGAGACTCCCTTGCCTTTCCGGTACGGAACCACATTCACATCTTTGTGGTACCAAGTTTTCCGCCGTCGATCATGTGCATAAAAGATACTTTCATCATGATACCAGATGATAACTCGACACCCTCGAGCCAGGACAGTATCGATCAGCTCGCCAGTCTCACTATCAAATGGATGGACCCATTGTTGTAACTCAAATAACCGAGGCAAATAAACTTCATTGCGGTATTGAACCACATCTGTTCGCTCATGTCCGTCAACATATTGCCCTTTCTTCGCAAATGTAAACCTCAAAACAAGTTAACACTATTGATCATCTATTCGAAGGAACTGACCAGTATCCCAATGTCGCAAGGTATCGCCGTGCTGTCCGGACCGAGATTTCACGGTCAATCTCATGTCGGCTTCGGACTTCAGGATCCATCAAGTATGCACGCAGCTTCTCCGCGAGACTGAAGATGGAGTCGCAGCTCATTAGCCAGGTCTTCATCGGCAAGCATGCTTGTTGTCCACCCACAATAAGGGTTAACCGAGTCAAGCACATCACGATCGAGGATGTACTCCCGCGCCAACTTTGCCAGCATTCATGTGCAATGCTTGCCCCGGTTCAGCATAATTGAGGCCATAGTTGCCGATTCACCCCATTTGCCGTATGTTTTTGAGTCGGGTCTCGTGTAGAAGTTAAGCAGAGCCTGGATACCCCAAAGACGATTTCGAGTGAATAGTGAGTGTCCCTGATCGCGATAGCCAACACCGCGCTTTCCAAACAGTGTATTTGTCGCTGTCAGGGGATGAGGGTCCAGGTGCCTAGTTGATACCAAAGCTGGGGGAACAGCCCCTCGGCCAACTACTTAAGTACAGGGCTATCTGCGCACGAACCAGTCACGTGATCAGTCACAGCTGTCACATCACATGCTCCCCTTACAGTCGCAGATCCACGATAGTCGCCCCGCAGTTCTTTCTGGATGTCAGTTGCGACCAATTTGGCTTCTGAGAGAAGAGGCGCCTCTTGCAGCTTCCCCGGACATGTTGAATTGCAAACGTGGCCGTGCCTTCCTATACGCGGTCAAGACTTACGCCCGGCTTGCCCCGGAGGCCTTCGTGGTCAACGGAGAGCCGAGCGAAGAAAAGGCCGTCAGCTACGCCATGTCCTATATGGCGGAGGGACCTGCTCAGCAGTGGGCAGAGCGTCATGGGAGCAAAACCCCTTTCCCCTTCCCTCGGTGGAACCTATTCCTCTCTGAGTTTCGCCTTCAGTTCGTTGAGGAGAACGAGCAAGACCTTGCGCTCGCCAAGTTGGAGAGCGCGGGTTATCATATGGGAATGCGGGACGTCTACGGATACACCGACGACTTCGAGGACCTAATGGACCTCGCTGGATTCGAAGACGCGTTGGTTAAGGTGACCAAGTACCGCCACGGACTTGACCCCCTGATCAACAACGGCATCACATCCTCGAACGACCCCCCAGACCTCCGTGACTATCTGGGCTGGCGCACTCTTGGTGTGGGCGAAGCTCATCAAAGGGACAACCCCACAGACGCCTTCGGGGCTCCGCGTGGCGCATTCCCTATCGCCTGTTCGGCAACCCCGTTCCCCATCCGCCCGGTGGCCGCACCTGCGCCACCCGCGGCCTGCGCCCCCGTCAAGCCTGCTTCAGATGTGGAGACCCCAACCACTTGGCTCAAGACTGTCAGCTCCCCGCCAACATTCACCATATGGACATCCTTGACAAGGTAATCCAACAACTCGGCGACGAGATGCTAGCAGAGCTGGTTGCCCGTTACTCTGACATGGCTGCCCTAGCGGAGGCGCATTCGGAGGTTCCGGTAGAGGATTTTGTCCCCCGCGACGAGTGACTGGTGTGTCCTCGTTCGCGTCTATAAATCGTTTCACTTGTTTGTATGATGAATCAACTCCTCTGCCCTACAACAAGCCTGAAACGAAAGACACCCCCCCTACCCTCTCCGAAGCCCCCCGTTCAGATTTGCCAACTTGCCTGGGAGAAAAAGCTACCTGGCAGCTATACCATCTCCGCCGCGCCTGGGACTAACTCGCTCCACCTCCCCCTAGAACTTGAGTCCACTGCAAACACGCTCAAGCTCTCCCTCTCAGGCCTGGTCGACTGCGGAGCGACTCCGGACTTTATCGACACAGAATACATCAACCGAAACCATATACCGGTCTGAAACCTCTCAGTGCCCATCCCGGTTTATAACATCGACGGTACCCCCAATGATGCTGGGTCTATTCGCCAAATCGCGGACCTTGTTCTGCGGTACAATGGACACTCCGAACGCGTCCAGCTGGCTGTGACCCACCCTGGGAAGCAAGACCTGATACTCGGATACTCCTGGCTCAAAAAAGCACAACCCCGAGATCAACTGGGAAACAAAGGAGGTGAAAATGAGTCGCTGCCCTCGTAGCTGCTCTACCTGCCGAGATGAGGAACAGACCGAATGCGCAGAGGTTCGGCATCCTTAAATCACGACTACTCGCAGGTGCCTTCCCCACCATCTGCGCTGTTGACATTGCTGGCCCAGATGATGCTGAGGACGAATTTGGAGCCGCTTCGGACCCTCCGAACCCCTCGCCAGATCCTGACAACGACGAGCAGCTTGACAAGGGCGACTGCATCTTCTACACCTCCTTCCGCCCAGTAGAGGAGATTCGAGCTGGGAGCATGGTATCACAACGCCTCGCAGAAGCCTTCGCCCATAACTCGCCCCCCCCGCCTTTGGAGATTCTGGACTGGGCCAAGGAGTTCCAAGACGTCTTTGACAAGGAGTCCTTCGATATGCTACCAGAACGAAGGGCCTGGGACCACGCCATCGAACTCGTCCCTGACGCAAAGCCTGCCAACTGTAAGGTGTATCCGATCTCTCCCCTCGAACGACTCGAACTCGACACGTTCATTGAGGAAGGACTTGCCACAGGCCGTATTTGCCCTTCGAAATCTCCGATGGCTTCCCCCGTCTTCTTCGTCAAGAAAAAGGACGGAGGGCTTCGGTTGGTCCAGGACTATCGCACCCTCAACGCAATGACGATTAAGAACCGGTACCCCCTCCCGTTGATTAATGACCTTATCAACAGGCTCAAGGGCGCCCGCTACTTCACTAAACTCGATGTTTGTTGGGGCTTTAATAATGTCTGGATTAAAGAAGGAGACGAGTGGAAGGCGGCCTGCCGCCTTTCGGACTAACCGAGGGTTGTTCGAACCTTTGGTGATGTATTTTGGCCTGACGAACTCCCCTGCGACGTTCCAAACGATGATGAATGACATTTTCCAGGACCTCATCCTCTCAGGAGACGTTATCACCTGTTAATCCCAGATATCCTCACATACTAGAAGGCTCGACCCATCTGGTTGAGCCTTCTAACATGAAGAGAACAGCGTCTGGGCCTATGGTGTGATATTTGCTCAGATAATTCTCCAATAATTCTGAGACTTAGAGTATTTTTTTGTGTATATGACAGGTGTGGTGATGAATCAACATAATCTGATGTGATCGATGCTGCTTCCATATATGGTAACTTTTCCTGAAGGATACAAGTCAATATCTAAGCTCAGGTATGAATAATTATAAATAATTGTGATGCGGTAAGACTTGGAAAACAAGATGTGACACTGGTATGTGACATCAAAGGGTTTGTTATACTCATTGATGTGATACTATACATATTGATGATCAAACATTGATCGCAGCTCCAGACATGCTGTTACACAATATTATATAAGGTGACATTTCTCCCAAAAGGAAAATTTCCACCCGTTTGACTGTACAATCATCAGAGAATGTCACACATCATCACAAAATTAAATTTGTGTATTCTGAATATACAAACAACTTTCATTAAGTGACCTACAGTGACAGCTCAATAAATGTGTTAGTGTTAGCACTGACCCATCACTAGCTTATATATATAACTGATGAGCCTCTATCTCCATAGCTGCTTGAGCTACCAGCATGGATGATGTACTAGAAGGAAGGGTCTCAAAAGTCCTATTGATTGATAGCATATTTTAATTATTATCATCTGATATAATTATCATATTGAGCATTCAGTCATTAAAAAGAGAATATCTAGTACCAAAAAATGTAAGGTGCCTAAGTAGCTGATTTATATAGATGATTGAAGCACTACCAAGGGTACCTAAATGATAGGATCAATACCCTAGACAACGAATATTATTAATATAGCTATATCATCTTCTGATGGTTCATCACCTACATTGATACTGTAATATTTCTACCAATCCTAGCTTAAGTCAGATGATTTTTGTACTGGTAAGTAGGTAATAACCTAATGTTGATATGGTCTGTTGTGATCATAGTCCTATATCTTTAGATTATGATATTATACCACTCTTCTCTAGTTTCTACATTTCAAATTTGATCAGAGCTAATGATCACTTGATATCTCACTGTAAACTTAATGGATAAGTATGATTCAAGTTGCAACCTGGTCTAATATATGTCACCATTGACATGACTGCTCCCCATAATTTTAAGTATCAGGTCTACCTTTATATATAACATATATCCTATACCACAAATTTCCCAATAACTCACTTAGAACTAAGGGGTCTCTAGTGGAATCAGGGTAGGAAGCATACAGAGGGGTCCCCTTATAAGATTAGATTTCTCATACCACCATATATGCATGGAAGATCCTGTTATTCTCCATTATAATGATAAATAGGACTGCACATCATATTGGCAATACAGCTATAATCTAGTAGTTGATTATGGATCAAATATGTCAAACTTGGCAAATGAGGTGTATACACCTACCAGCATACTTGGATTGATCTCTGTATATTCTTGGAGGATGAATTGGGATGAACATTCCAAGACATGCGTATGCAGTACTGGTTTACATGAATAGTGAGGTCTATAGACTGAGTGTTGGACCTTGAGGTGGGTGTATGAGGAAATTTGAATGTCTACTGCAACCCTGAACCATACACCGCCAATCGCTTTCCAGCTATCTCATAGCTGGAAATCCGGGATTGACACCATATGTCACCCGCATTTGGGAGCAAATGGATCCACGCCGGGTCCAGAGTTCCTGGAAACCAGCCAAAGATTTATATGATATGCACATAATTTTGCTGATATAAACAACATGGGCTCAAGGCTGCTGCTTATAATTGTATGTATACTCACGCCAGGACCCTACTTAGAATTTGTGCTCAGTTGGTAAGGAGATGAAAATGTCTATTATATATATCTAGCTGTACTGCGACACGACTACTCCATCCCATTACCCTCTGCCTCACCCGCGCCATCCATTGGGTCATCGTCTTCATCGTCTACGACTGCCCCTGCTGCGTTCATCACAGTAGCGTCAATGGCCTGGTCAACCTCCTGCTGCACACGGTCTGCTGCACCATCCTTGGTCGTGTAGTCGTTGTAGCCATACATCTCGCGATCCTTCTTAAGGACTTTGCGGAATGCCCTGACATAGGTATGAGTAATGAGAAGAAAAGAAAAGCACAATGCACTGAGCCACTTGTTGCTGATTCCCCTTGGCCTGTTCGCGGATATCCTCTAGCAGCCCATCGACCTCATCCCAAAACTTGGAAGTATCATCCTTGTATGTTGCCATCCAAATGCTGCCAAGGGTATTCAGCTCATATGGCTGCATCTATGCAAAAGATATGGGTAGCATCCTGGGGGGGTAATGCAAAAGATGAGGGCAACTACTTGGAAACTAAATTAAATAACAGTGTTTTCTTGTTTGTGGCTGCTATATCAAGGTATCAGTGATGGGATCAACAGCATCTAGGTCTGTTGATCCATGTGGAACGATTTTTGATTGCCATCAGAGCTTTTGATGACTGCATCTTGCTACATCAACCTTACTTAATCGATTATTAATTTTTTGGTCCCTTGGCTTATAAGTCCCAAATATAATATTACGAATATTCGGCCCAAAGAAAAGGTGATTTCTCTTCCTATATGTATTTTTATATTAGTCATATCTCTTAATTCCAGTGAGAAATTCATGAAATACATCTGTCACAACATCTTTTGCATTACCCCCTTGGGATGGTACCCACATCTTTTGCATAGATGCAGCTATATGTACTGGGGTATTAGGCAATGTATTGACGCAAAAATGAGACTATCACCATCAGTGCGACACGAGCACACAGCTCGACGGTGACCACACAGTCAGAAGAGCCGACAATGGCTTGGGTGAGGGCGTAAATGTTGTCGCAAGCCTTTGCTGCCTTGATGTGTGGGTGTCTATAAGTGTAGCCTAGAGACTTCGCAATCTGGACATAAAGTAAGTCGAAACCCATTGGGAAACAAGGACGCACTGCCTTTTTTATGTCCGACCGCTGTTGGGTGAATAGATTGCGCACGGCACGCTTGAGCGTGACGTAGTCCGCAGCATTATACTCAATGCCAGGCGGGAGGTCGAACGGATGGGTTTTGAGAATGTTCTGACAATGAAGATGAGACGATAATACAGCTAGAAGTATACCACGCACCAGAAGAACATTGACCGGCGTTTTGCCCTTGTAAGACGCTTGTTGTGGAGAGAGCATGATGGCAATTGCCTATCTTTTCATGTTTTTCTGTCGACAGTCAGCAAACAAACCAGAGTACAGAAACCACGTACCATGAGCGCGTCGGATGGCTGAAAGGATGGCTGGGAAAGGACGATAGCAGTGATCATGTTGAGGATAGCGGAGAGCAGCACAACGACTTTGGCCATCACGAGTGAAGCCAGGTCCTGCGAACTGTAAGGGCAACCCTGGAGACTCCAACGAAAGCCTAGCAGGGGAGGATCCAAAGCGTGAATAAAAGCTACAGAAATACACGGAGGGACCGACCTAGCAGGGGAGGATCCAAAGAGAAGAAACTCTAAGGGTCCGCCTGCTAGGGCGCCAACTATATACTGGTCATCCGTAACTGCCGACGTAGAGCGCAGAAGGCCTGAGCGGCGTCGCAGGCTCTGTCCCAAGGTGATCATTGGGAGGGTCTTGACGGATCGGTGATTGTGCGGGCGAAGGAGGCCGTGGACGATGGTCGGGGTGGGTCGGAGCGTCCGAGGGGGCGCTGGTCGGATGCACCTCGGATGCGTTCGGAGGGTCCGAAGGCGGCCGAAGCGGGGGTTCCCCTGACACTGTTGGGAAAGTTATAGGATAAAGGTAAAAGTAAATCCCAGATTTATCTATTGATTTTTTGTGTGAAAAAACTGCAATGTAAATGATAGCTTTGAACACAAAGTAAACCTGTGGACAAAGCTGTTCTTTTTTCAAAAAACCTGAAGTAAAACTGTTTGATAAATGTCACATTTATTCACTATTTTAAGCTGTGATTTTTACAAAGGAAAAAAACAAGAGATAAATCTCAGATATATCTGACCATTGATCTGCAGGGAAAACCTGGGGTTTCTCTGAAAAACAAAGCAACAGATACACTTGTCTTTGTCTTTTGAATAGCAGATTTTCCTACAGCTTTATCCAGCAGAAAACCCCCACATTTTTCTTACAGATAAATGTCCAGATTTATTCAAGATTTATCTTCAGGTTTTTCCTTTGTGGAAATCTCAGGTAAATTAGTGGATAAATATGACATTTATCTATGAGTTTTACTCTGGGTTTTTGTGCTGGAAAAAGGCCAGCTTTATCTCTGGATTTTCCTTGTGTCAAAAACTACCATTTATACAGTGGTTTTATCATAAAGACAAGCTATAGATAAATTTAGAATTTATTCATCCATTTATCCTCTAACTTTCCCAGGGGGAAAATTCCTAAATCAGCCCAGTGAGATATGATCTTACCCTTGCTCAATGACAATGCTCATTGATCGACAACCGACGAGTGACGTGACCGATTGGTGATGACCGATTTAATTTATCATTTATCACCGGTCACATTCCACATCACTTTTTTTCTCTTCTTTTGTCCCGACCATGATGGCCTCGCCGCGATTGCCCCTAGAGCTCTTCGCCCTTGTAGTGGAGAATCTCTCTTATCGCGACTGTCTGCATAACTGCGCCCTGGCCGCGTCCGTCTTCCTGCACCCCTGCCAAAAGCGGCTGTATGACCAGCTGTCGCTAACTACGTCGATCGACGACGGCGCGGTCCTCCCGGTGAAGGAGGCATTGCGCTCGCTGCGCCCAGTACACACGTATGCCGATGCAGCCCGCCACTTCGCCGCCGCGCCGCACCTCGCGGGCTACGTGGCGACGGTCTACCTGGCCATGTCCGCGCTCGAGTCAGAGTCTGGAGACGCAATCGAGACGGCGGAGATGGTTTCGGCGCTCTTGGCGGGGCTGACGGGCGTGAGGCGGTGCTGTCTGTTGGCGCTGCGGGAAGAGGCGGTTGTGTGGGCCACGGTGGCAGGCGGGATGCGGGATGCGCTGCTGGGGTGGCTCCTGGCTCAGGGGACGCTGGAGAAGATCATGGTGTCCGGTATCTGGGGGCTCCCCCGGGCTGCGCTGCACGTGCTGCTCGGCGCCAGCCCGTCGCTCCACATCCTCCAAGGCGACGTCGATCACGCGGACGGCCCGAGTACGGAGGAGGCCGAGTGGATGCGGCGTGTGGACGCAACGGATACGCGCGTTATGCTGCTGGAGCTGTCTGTAGCGACAAGTCCAACGATCAACCGTGTATTGCAACAGCCCGAGTTCGCACAGTATCTCAACCACCTTGAAGTCCTGGACACGACTATTGATGCGACGCCGCTGAGCACCGTCTGCTTTGCGTCTGCGGCAACACTCGACACGCTCAAGCTTGACTGCATCCGTGCGTCGTGTATTGGTTCACTATGTGGCCGGAACTGACAACCCAATAGAGACCACGCACGATCACCTGGTCCGGTTTCCACCCTCCCTCCCGCAGCTTCTGAACCTCCGGTTCACAGTCGGGCTGCACCACCTCGCCGGCGACGACGACAGTCCACTTAGCGACTTGCGCTTCCTCCCACAGCTGCTCCGCACCCTCGGCGAGGACACATCCTGCCCCAAACTGCGCACCATCACCTTTATCGTCCTGCTTCCGCGCTTCATGATGCCGCTCTCAGAACAAATGCTGCGCCAATTGGACGAGGCACTTCACGCGCTCAGATCCTTGGCGCTCGCTCGCTGGTTGCTGGTGGCCTCGGAGCTGCGACAGAGCGACTACTCAATGGACGCGTTCCGGGAAGGCATGCTGCGGGGCCTGCCGACGATGGTAGCGGCGGGTAAGGTCGTGGTCCAGCATTGCACGCCGGGTTTGGTTATAGACGAATAAAAACAACAGTAGATTTCAATTCGATTGTTGCTTTATCGTTCACCTGCGGACAGAGCATCTCTCTCCAGTGCCCAACCATGATTGCCAATTCGAACGACAACTCAACTGAGTCAACTCGACCTTACTGCATCCCTCTCAGCATCCTAAATCCACTTGCGCTTGCTTTCGTCGCGCTTCGCGATGCGCTTGTTGACATCGGGGTGTCATGCACCATTGGGGATACTCTCTTTGATTCTCTCTTTCCTCCTGCTGCAGTTCTCGAGCTCCGGTAACCACTGGTCTGGCTTCACTGTCCTCCGAATGTGATGTCCGCCTCGGCACGACTCGGTCCGGTTCTCCGCGCCTTCGCATCAACTCAGCCCGCAACGGGGGCATTTGGAAGTTGCCCTGGCGCTTCTGTGTATTTTCCCACCGTGCACGCGTCCAGCGCCCGTTATCACCAGCGGCAAATTTAGTACGTGTATTGACCCTCAAACCATACTTTGACGCCATCCGGGTGGCTCGGCCTCGGGCCCGAATCGGCCTGATCTCCTACCCCTGCATGTGTATTCCGCAAGTCCGCCGCCGCATTCGGTTGTCAAGGCGAAAGTTACTGCGAGAACATACTTATCACATCCATAACAACCCTCCACCGAGAGCAGCGCATCATTTTTAGGCATTTGATAGGCTTGTGCATGATGAATCGCGGAAGAATCAGGATGACAGGGTACAAAACGTAGGATGAATCTATGCTCTTGTAAGTCACCAATTGCAACCACTGGCAGGAAGCAGGACAATACATATGTCGACTTGAGATGCATTGCGAAACGTTGACAATGCATGTAGAAAGGCCTCGGCCTTCCAATGGGTGTACTCCGACTTTCTTTACTCGTAAGCCTGAGTACTATGTTGCCTCCTATGCAAGTTGCACTGCTTAGCTTCGGGATCACTCTGAACTAATACTAGTAGGACATGGCCGCACCAGTCACGTACTAGTACTCATAACTGCCACTGCCAGTGGCCAGTCTTCCGCTATTTCGCAGCACTGACTCGAAATATACAGCGAAAGATGACGGCTCAGCACTTTGAACACTTACGTATCGATGACGGCAAAAAACCATTTTGACGCGAGCGCGCGCATGGGAATAAAACTTGACTTGCGCATTTCTCAGTCATGTGATTTGCGATACATGTGCGGCGAAATCCAGTGGCTACATCGAGACGCATGGCCACCAGGGGGACGCGAGCCTGAGGCGGCCGTAACGTTCTTCCATTTCCCCTGACCGTGACGTGCCTGCAGCTTTACTAGTAATGACATCCCAATTCCATCCAACGGATTCGCCGGCCCCGCACTCAGGCTGGCGGTCTGCCGGGCCAGTGATCATTAAACTAAGAAAACTACAGAATGTGGTGCCAGTGCAAGGGAAGGAGGGGGATCATTCTCATCCCGAGTGGAGCTTTGTAATATGTTCCCTGGTGTCCTTGTCAAGAGCTTGATGACAGTGTTTCGGCAGATATATGTTCCGACTCGGAGTCTTCAATTCGATGATTGGGATCATGATAATCCCCCATTCAGAAATCTTTGTTCTCATGAGAAATAACTCAACGCTGCCAGTGGTTCCACTGGTATAAAGTCGCTTCCTAACCCACCATCTTGTATACAACTCACACAGACGATGTTCATAGACCAACTCACTATTTTCTCGGCCGCAGCAGGACTGGTAAGCCTGATGTTGCTCTGATCCATCTCAAGTCATGTGCAGGCGAACCATGTCTATTTCAAGGAGAACGAGCCAATGACGGCCCACTATCCCATTATCGCACTGTTGCTCCAGCCCATCGGAATCGTCTTGATCTGCTCGACACTCACTATTTGGAATGTGATCTTCTCCACGGCCATCTTCCTCACCGTTCTTTCGACGTCCATCATCTCCTATCGTCTCTCTCCGTGGCATCCACTTGCAAGCATCCCCGGCCCGACCTTGGCGAAGGTGACCAAGCTGTGGTCGGTCCATATCCAACTCAGCGGTCGCAAACATCGCATCTTGAAGGAGCTCCACGACCAGTACGGAGATTTCGTCCGAATTGGTTTGTCTCTGTCCGCCTCAGACAGAAGCCTTCTGACCATATATCGCATTATCAGGCCCCAACGATGTTTCGTGCTGCAACGCAGAGGCAATCAAGACGGTATATGGATCTGGGGGATTCAATAAGGGCCATTGTAAGCCGAACTTGTTTGACGCACTCCCAGGGCTGATGACGATCCGGTCAGACTATGAGCCATATACCGACCCGGCTCTCAACGAGCGCAACTTGTTTAACATGCGCGACGGTGCGCATGCCAACCGACGCAAGCTCTGGAACCGCGGGTTAAGCACCGACTCGCTCAAGGGCTTCGAGGAGGTCATGTCTCACCGTGTACAAACTATGCTCGACCAGATCGACCGCATCGTTGAGTCGAAGAAGCCGGTCAATATCGCCGCATGGTTCGGCTTCTATGCCTTCGATTTCATGGGCGACATGGCGTCAGTGTGCTTCGAATGATTCGCCGCGATGCTCACCTTGTCTGGCAGATTCGGCGGTGGATTCGACATGCTGAAGGAAGGCAGCGACAAAGATGGCGTCTTCCCGATGCTCCAAACTGCCGTCAAGTAGGTGTCTGATGCTGCTCCTATCGCCAGGTTCTGAGCATACCAAGGTTGACGTCCGTTTTCACACAAATACCATGGTTTACCCCGACGTTCAACCGCCTGCCTGGTGTGCAAGCGCTTGTCCAGAAGGCATTCCATTTTGCAATGGTCAGCGGCCAGAAACGTATTGCGGCTGGGCCGCAGGAGCTGAAAGACTTGTGGTACCATTTGGTGGGTTCCAACGCACATCGTTCCGGTAACAATCTGACAAATTCCTTCAGATGGACGAAGATGACCTCGAGAAAGTCAAGCCCACTGTCAACGAGGTGCTGGCTGACGGTATCATGGCCGTCATCGCGGGGTCGGACACTGTAGCGGTGGCTCTTACCACGTCAGTCTCTTCGCATCGAGACTTGACATGACTGACCTTCATGACCAGCTTCATGTGGTGCATGATAATGCATCCAGACATACATGCTCGGGTCCGCGCGGAGCTTGACGCTGTATTCCCCGACGGTACCAGCGTTTACGACTGCGACAAGTACGACGATCTCAAGTTATTGAATGCCTGTCTGTAAGTAGTTTCAGCTGTTGTGCTCCGAATTCGGCTAGTCTGACGCACCCTTCCTCTAGCCAAGAGTCCCTCCGTCTGTTCCCGCCGGTCCCAACCAACGGCGCTCGCAAGATTCCCCTCGGCGAACCCCGCCTCGTTGCGGGTCGTCTCCTCCCGGGACAAACCCAGATCTACATGCCGCCATATGTCATGCACCGCAACCCCAAGAACTTCTTCCCGGCACCGGACAGCTTCGACCCCGACCGCTGGCTCCGTCCCGAATCCGGGTCCGAGATCCTCAATCGGACGGCATACCTCGCGTGGTCGTATGGCGCAGCAAATTGCGCTGCGAAGAACCTGGCCAACCAGGAGATGCTTATGGCGCTCGCGGCCGTACTGAAGCGCTACGACCTGAGTTTCATGGACGCGGAGGGGCGGAAATGGGCGGAGAAATCGATTGGGGAGTATCACATTACGCGGGTTGGCAAGCTGGAGTTGAATGTCGCGCGGCGCTGAGCATACTGGACATGTGTACTTGAAGCCTACCGCGGTCGATTCCTGTACGTAGTAGGTTTGGAGGGACATACCAGAAGTAATAGAAACCAGTCGAGTGAAAAGAATGGAGGAAAAGGTGGTGACGTGGCTGAAGTGTCACGGCTGATCGCTGATCTGTCACGAGCCGCCACACCACGCTCAGACACCGGGACCGACGAGATTAGGCCCGCACGCCTGATCCGGAAATACTGCACATGTCCATAGAATACTGCACCTCATCTAAAATACTGCACACCTCATCCTAAAATACTGCACACATCAGAAAGTTCTTGTCCACCCCAACTTCTGATCACAGTCCCGCTTAGCACTCAGAGTCTTCTTATTCGTGATAATACAAAAACAATGTATCTATTCTATACGACTGTCCGTTGCGCCACAAGAATTCACCGGCCTGGGCCATCATGATGTCCTGACCCAGTAAAGTCTTGGTCACGTCCTGTGCAAAGACTGGGCAGCTTGTGGTTGTTCCCTAACCTTAACCCTCCAAAGCGTTGATGAGGAAGCAGTTTAGCCCAGGTTGAGACTATATATGACTAAGCTTGAGACTATGCATTAGGCTTTGTCTCTCAATGCTTATTTGTTTTGAAATTTGGACTAAATTTGTAATTAGACAACCTTAAAGGTTTTCTCCTCCCCACTACCTATGGTCGATTAGGGACTCAGTGACCCTTTTGCCGGTGACAGTAGGATCAACTATTTCTACACTGGATATTTTTTTGCAGTGTGAAAATCATCTATATAACTCAACGCTGGCCTGAGGTTTGGGCGGATGGGTAGAACGGCGCACAGAAGAAGAAGAAGAGAGGCCGCCCGCACCCTGGCACGGAGGCAGGAACGGGAGGCGCCATGTTGTCTCGTGGTCGTGAGGGTTGTGAGCAAGCAGTAACTTGAAGCGGCGAAAGAAGCTCGATGATAGCCGATCCCGATCGGCCCGAAGTGCCAGCACACTGTCACAGCCAAAATTTCTCCTTCTCTCCCTCCTCCCCTTCGCGCCGGTCACCGAGGGCGCATAACTCGCGCCTGCTGACCCCACACCCCATGCGCCCGCGCACGAGCCCCGCACGTCGTCACGCTCTTCCGCTGAATCACACATGTGGGCAAAACCATGCTTGCGCCATTCTCGGATTGCTTCTGCGGCATCTGACCTCGCTGGGCCATCTTTTGTGGGAGAAGGACGAGCAATATTGGCTGGGAATGGCGTGCAATCGCGCGGGGCGGCTGGGCTGATTCCGTCGATTCGATTTGGCGATAAAAGCGGCAGATAGGCGCAGCGATAGGCCGGAATCCATGGCGCCCTCTGTGTCCGACTTACAGCCTGTCGCGCCGCCGGAGACGCGGGAGAGGAGAGCATCATCGATGCGGTGAAGAAAGAGGTGTGTTCATGGCTCGCTATCTTGTTTGCAAGACTGACGGTATTCAAGCAGGCGAACTTGAAGAAAGGCCCCTCGTACCCGTTCTACTACCCCGTCTTCGACAACACGCAGAAGTACCCGCCGATCGAGCCCTTCGGTGCGGTATCACGCTTCCCTCCTCCCTCTGGCTGACTTTTTGTGCAGAGCATTCTGACGCGGGCCACCGCGCTGACCGCGCCAAACCGCACCTGCTCACCCCCAACACGACAACGCGCGACATCAGCCCGTACCTCGGGACGGAGATCAAGGGCGTGCAGATCTCGCAGCTCTCCAACGCTGGCCTCGACGAGCTCGCGCTGTACGCTGCCGAGCGCAAGGTCCTCGTGTTCCGCGACCAGGACTTCAAGGACATCGGGCCAGACCGGCAGTTGGAGATCGGATCGTGCGTGATTGTTTTAACAAATAGCAATGCTCTAACTAGTGCAGATACTTTGGCCCCATTCACCAGCATCCGACTTCGGGGAATGTTGTTGGATACCCGCAGTTCCATGTCGGTAAGTCTACTACTTGTTTCATTCGAAAGCCAAAAATGACGGCTTTCCTTAGTCTATCGCGATGAGGACCAGGACCGCTTCGAAGACTATTTGGGCGGCGAGCGCACGAATCGCACAAGCTGGCACTCCGATATTGTACGCCTTTTTTTTCCTTATCATACCCTGGACGTCAATTGATTGCTTGCAGACTTATGAACGACAGCCTCCCGGCACCACCATCTTCTTCATCCTCGACACCGTATGTTCACAGATTTCTACTGATCTGTCATGCATTGATTCGTTATGAAGCCCGAAGGCGCGGGTGGGGACACGCTCTTCCTCTCTCAAGTCGAGGCCTACAAACGGCTCTCGCCCGAGTTCCAGAAACGCCTCGAGGGCCTGAAAGTCCTCCATTCCGGCGTCGCCCAAGCCGAATTTTCGCGCAAACGGAATGGGCCTGTTCGGCGCGAGCCAATCGAGTCCATCGTGCGTCTCCCTACCACTTCTACTGACTTCACTTCTCATATTACCTCGGCAGCACCCGCTAGTCCGCGTACACCCCGTGACGGGCGAGAAGGCGCTGTACGTCAACCAGGCGTTCACGCGCTCGATCGTCGGCTTCAAGCGCGAGGAGTCCGACTACCTACTCAACTTCCTCTTCAACCACCTTGTGACGGGGGCGGACTTCCAGATCCGCGCGGCGTATGAGCCCGGGACCGTCGTTGTGTGGGACAACCGCGTGACGTGCCACTCGGCGACGCTTGATTTTGAGCGCGCGAGGCGGCGCCATGCGGTGAGGTTGACGCCGCAGGCGGAGGTCCCGATCGCGGGCTGAGGGTGGGTGCTATTATTGTGTGTATGTGCATATAAATGGAAAGCAGTTTGGCTGTACTGTGGTCTTACCTGAGCCTGTCCAACTAAAAACAGTCTCGCTGAGGAGCTCTTCTCGCCACGGCTGGGAATCAATGATGGGATACTTAGCGCTACCTGGATCCTCGTCTTCTGCTCCAGCTCGGAGCTTCTCCTGCTCTACCTTGGCCTACTAGCAGGCTTAAAAGAAGCTCCTTCCTCCTTCGACATTCAAATTCTCCCATTCACTTTCCTCCACCACTAAATCATCTTGGCAATGGTCCGCCTGCTCAGCACCGTGGTCGCCTTCCTCGCCGCCTCCCTCACCGCCCAAGCATGCGAATACTGCCAATGTCTCTACGAGGACGGTAGCCACTGCTGTCTCTACACCGTACGCATGCACTCTCTCAATGCACAATAATTGACGGACAGTCTTCCAGGCCGGCACTGGCAGCGAGAGCGACTGCACGACCGTGTGCGCGTCGGTGCACAACGCGAACGGCGACACGTGCCGCGACGGCGGGAACATCAACTACAAGTGCGCGTCGCTCGCTGAGTGCGACGACCGCTCGCACTGCCGCGAGAGCCGCGGGTGTGTATAGGTGCCGAGTGCCCACCCGAGGACTCAGAAGAAAACTGGAGCATTTTTTACAATTTTAACAATGGTCACCTTTATTGATCAGAAAAAAAAGTTTAAAAAATGTCAACTAGATAGGAAAGAAATTTAAACAGAAAAATACTTGTCAGATTGTAATATAAAGAGGGTGCCTATGTGGGAAAACTGGAGTATATCTGGGCATTAGAGGCTTTTTTGTATGACAATGTTGATTCCTTTTTTCTCATAAGATTGTTGTTCTTGTAAGGGCAACCTCGCGAGACAGAGTGGCACCAAGAGAACGGCGCAATGATGGGCGAGTCTGTACAGAGTAGTTTGTCTGATAAATGCCATATTTAGACAGTAATTTGAGCTGTGATTTTGACACAGGAAAAAACTAGGTATAAATCTTAGATATATCTGAGCATTGATCTTCAGGAAAAACCTCGGATATTTCTGACAGATAAAGCAACAGATGAACTTGTCTTTGGCTTCTGAATGATAATTTTTTGTGGGTTTATCCAGTAGGAAAACCACCCATGTACATTTTTCTTACAGAGAAATGTCTGGATTTATCTAAAATTTATCACTAGTTTTTTCCTTTGTAAAAATGTCAGGATAAATCAATGGATAAATATCACATTGATTTATAAGTTTTACTCTGAGTTTTTGTGCTGAAAAAATGTCAGCTTTATTCCCGGATTTTCCTTGTAGCAAAAACTATCATTTATATAGGGGGTTTTATCATACAAAAAATCTATAGATAAATTAGGAATTCATTCATCCATGTATAACTCTCCCAGAGGTTACGATCATCTGTGCGTTACGCGTAGTCACGCGCAACCTGATCGTGATCTGTCACCCGTAACGAACACGTAAGACACCTTTTTCTTCCTCTCGACCCATGGCACCTCCACGGCTGCCCCCAGAGCTTGTCGCCCTCATAGTGGGGCATATAACCGACCGCGAGTCACTGCGGAGCTGTGCGCTGGCGGCTTCAGTGTTCGTCGAGCCGTGCCAGCGGCGCATCCACCAACGGCTGCTGCTGGCGACCACGCGTTATTCTGACCCTGCCGATGTTACGACGGTCGACGGCGATGGTGATCCAAGGGCTGCCCCCGAACCGCTGACCCTCCATTGTGTCCCTTACATAGAGGCGGCGCGGCAGCTGGAGGCGGCCCCGCATCTCGGGGCATATGTGGTTACGCTGCTGATCGTGCTCCAGCCGACCCAGGGGGGCTTGGAAGAGGTGGCGGCGCTACATGCGGTACTCGGGCGGATAACCCGGGTTACGCAGGTCCGAGTGCTAGGAGACGACGACATCCAATGGGCTGCCGTGCCACGGGGGATAACGGATGCTCTCGTTACTTGGCTGGCTGCCAGGCGTATACGGGGTTTTTTTTAAAAAGATCCCTTGTAATTAGAATATTAACATTTTTAAAAAACATCAGTGATTTACAAGTCTTCCCCTCATTTTAATAAAATCCACGCTGTCAAACTCTGTATCTTTCTTGGCACCTTGGCATCAACAATTTTTTTCATCTTTTTTAGCCTTTCCCCTACTCAGTATTTTCCCCATACTTAAGGAATTTTCCACACGTCAGGTCTGGGGCCTTATAGCTACCACACTGCCCACCCTGACAAGGCTTTTCAACCTTTTAAACCTTTTTTTGATCTCTCATTTCCCTATGTAAAACCCGCCTTTTGGCAGGGGCATAAATTAGAGGCATTTTTTAAAAACATTAACACTGGTAATGAGAAGGCTTTTTTAAAAAAAACCCCGTGTACAGGTGTGGCTGCAGCGTCACGGGCGATGCTCCGCGATCTGGCGATAGAGATGATCTACGGGCTGCCGCGGAGCGTACTCCATGTTGTGCTCCGATCGGCGTGGACGGTGACGCTGCTCGCGATGGGGCTGGCACAAGGCGACGCCGCGGGGGATGTGTATCGCGGCCCGACTGGCCCGGCCTGCACCGTCTTGTGCATAGCGGTTGCCCCTACGGTGGAGCATGCCTTTTTAGACCCCGAGTTTGCTTGCTACCTTACCACGCCCACATTGGGTCTCGACATCAGCGGCATGAACATTCTGTCCTTCGCTGCGGCGCCGACAGTCGAGCGACGAGCGCCTGCGCCTCGCGTGCCTCTGTACGTCATCCTTCTTACTTGATGTGTCTGCTAATTGATTGCACCTGCCAGTCCTCGCCGATGATGAGGAGTTCGCGCTTCCCGCATCCCTCCCACTCCTGCGCGAGCTCGAGCTCCACGTGGACGAGCAATATATCACCAACAATGGCGGCACCACGCTCGTCCCACGGCTGCTCGCGCTCTTCTCCCGCCCGCACGCTGCCCCGGGCCTCGTGTGGCATCGCCTTCATTGTCTCCGTCCCTGGCCCGGATGTGCTCCCTGGCCCCGGCCCCGCTATGCACGCACTCGACGCCCGCGCTTGACGCGTTCCCGGCGCTCCGGACCGTGCTCTGGACACCCTTCGCACCACCGGGCCCAGGCCAAGCTAAAGTGATGCGCATGTTCAAAGAAGGCCTGTGCTTGGCGCTCCCGATGACGGCTGCGCGCAGGCGGATCATCGTCCGCCAGCCAGAGCCAGAGTTTTAGCCCGCCGCTTCTTGAAGTAAAATTGAGCACACCACGGCGAAATGCAGAGCTCGGATCTCTGAGTTCGGCAAATGGTGGCAGTTTGTCATTCTTTACCGGGATCGCTGAACACTGTTCACATTTTTCCCTTCTTGAATAATAATTTTGTCACCTTTTGTATTATAAAAACCCTAATCCCAATTTATATAACCACCATTGCATCACAGCACCGGCACATCAATCACTGGCAATCAGGTGCCACGTCGTCCCTTGGCTTCTCGCGCATCTCTTGCCACATCCAGCGTCAGCTATCCCGTCGAGACAATTGCTTGTAGACTTGGGGGGCAACGACCTCACGCGCCACATAAGCCGGGGATCATGTGGAAAGAACACTTCACGCAATGCGCACTCCGGATCCGCGACGCTGGAATTTCGAACGCGCGCAACGCCTCAGCAGTGCCGAATGTGGAGTGTATACTTAAATGGAACTTGTCCACTCTTTCGCGCCAAAAACCTGGACATCGGTGCTATATCCACTCTGACGTGTCCGAATCGATGGGCCGAGACGTGCGTGGGATGCTGGCGCCGCGGCGAAGTGGGGAGTCGAGCTTGGAGTTGAGTGTGCATGCGTGTTGCGGGAATCGAGTGAAAGGTGAGCAGACTGTGGCGGTTTAGCGCATCTGCCAGTGCCCCTCATCAACCTGAATTTTAGTTCCACAGCGCAGGGATAAGAAGCCCCCCGCATACCCACGATCATCACGGGAAACTCTCACGGCCTCGCAGAAGCCACGCGGATAGGCAGAGGCATGCAGCGGACAGCTCGACCCCTCGACGTCCCCTTCGTCTCAAACCACCACTATGTCGTCTCCCCCACCTCAGCAGAAGAAGAGCCATAGTCATGCCCTTGATTATGCAGCTGAAGCTGTTGGATTAGCTGCCAAGGTTGCACCTAGTATCCCTGTGGCTGGTGACGCGATTGGGATAGCACTTGAAGGAGTACAAGGTCTTCTGAATCTTGTCTCGGTGAGACTTACTTCATAAGTATCTCTGACATGAGTTTCAAATGTGTTGCAGACAGCAAATAGCAACAAGGAAGAGCTTCCAGCACTCATCCAGAAGCTTAAATCTTTATGTGCCATGCATATGGAGACAGCCCAGGTAGAACCCATTACACAGTCATATAAGGTTTTCCAGGAGTTTCAAAGGTGAGATCTATGGTGCTTCTGAAACAGCTGACACTGACACTTTTACTAGTGAATTGCAGCCCTTTATTGTTCGGTGTGACAAGCTCCGCGAGAAATCCCAGAAGAAGAGATATTTGTGGCTAAGTCCAATTTTTGCAAAAGATCTTAAACATGTCAAGATCAAACTCCATGAGTTGGCAGAAGAATACATGGTAGGAAATGCCCTGTCCTGCATCCTGCATCCTTATTTTTATCAAACACTAAATAAATGGTAGATAAAAAACAGCAGTATCTTGAGTGCAACTCAAGAAAGGATGGAAGCAGATGGTAAGTTGACACCCTGCAAATGTATACTATTGATCTGTCCATAGTAAAGATGAAATATGCTATGAATATGCTGGCCAACAAGTACAAGGTGTCTGCCAGATACAATGCTGACAATACTCCAGATGTATGTCTTGAAGGCACACGGGTGGAAATTATAGCCCAAATCATTGATCACCTTACATCTCTCACTCACACACATCAATTTTTGCTGCTCAGTGGTTCTGCTGGCTCTGGGAAGTCAACTATTGCTAAGACTGTAGCTGAGAAACTTGCCAAATGCTCAGCTCTTGCAGCCTCATTTTTCTTTTCATCTCGCTTTACTGGACGTAGTGACAGCTCCAGCGTGCCTATTGCACTTGCCTATCAGCTAGCTCAGTATAATCCACAGTTCCAACAGCTGCTGTCAAATTTTCTGGAGGAGAACAAGTTTCAGGTTCTAGATGAAAATACTGCCAACCAATTTGACAAGCTTGTGGTTCAACTGCTATGCAAGATGGACTTTCCTGCTGGCTCTCCATTGTGGATAATCTGCCTGGATGCTTTGGATGAATGTGGGGAAAATCATGGTGAAACTGTAGTTTCATGGCTTTCTGCTGCTAGGAACAAGATTCCTTCCCAAGTCCGGTTCTTCTTAACTGGACGGCCAGAAGTTCCTGCGACTATCATGACAGGACCACTCCGGGTAGCTGCCTTTGAGATGAAACTAGATGATCAAGATCCAACAACTGTGGAAGCAGACATTCAGAAGTATCTTGACTTTAAACTGCCAATCAATTCACCAAAGTGGCATAACAAGGAAAAGGCTGCTTCAGCTCTCTTATATATTAAACAACAGTCAGCAGGATTATTTATCTATGCAGCAACATCTGTCCTGTATATTGACCATAAGGGGTCCCAGAAATGGGATAAGGAAGCGGAGTATCTCCGAGGGCTTAAAAGGGGCCATAAAGAGATCAATGCCCTTTACCATGGGATTGTGTCAGCTGTGGCTAAGCCACCCTACAGAGCAGATGAACGAGAGGCAGTTGCCTATGCAAGACAACTTCATATTCTGTATGTTGTACTTAATTTGGTGGAGCCACTAGATCTTGAAAGTCTCTCCACATTGCTGGAAGAGACAAAGGAGGATGTTCACAGCACCTTGATGGAGCTCAGTGCAGTAATCCATGTTCCAGATCTCAGGGATCATATGGGACTGGTCTATATATATCATCTATCCTTCAAGGAGTTCATGCTTCAGGCACCAGAAGAACACCAGAATGGAGATTTATGCTGTAGTTCAGAAGGAGCCCAGACATATGTCTTTGGACAAGTACTTCAAATATTGAGAGCACAGTTGAAATTCAATATCTGCAACATTCCTACATCCCATAAGTTGAATTCTGAGCAGAATATTGATATTGTGGCAAACATTTCAAAGGTCTTACAATATTGCAGCAAGCATTGGATAAGGCACATCACTATGAATAGTCAAGATACAAATGCTCTGAGAGAGTTTCTAAAGATGAAGTGGTGTTTATGGGTAGAGGTTGTTAGCTTGATAGGATACATTGGGGAGACAATCTATCAGATTCAGAGTATTGTTAGTAGGTTAAATAAGGAGGTAGGCCACTGTCATGTCACAATGCACTTATGATTGACATTATTGGATGATTAGGGCCAGAACCAGGGGCTCTGGAATCAGCTAGAGGATATGGGAAGATTTCTGATGGTCTTTGGGAAATGTATCAGTCAGAGCACACCTCATTTGTATGTCTCAGCTCTATGGCAAATTCCAAGGCAAGCAAGATGTCATGAGTTGCTGGATGAATATAAGATAAAGGGCTTGGTTATAAGCCAAGGCCATTGGATAAAGTGGCCTACTTTCCTGCTTGGGATTCAAGCTGAGAGTAGGGTCAATGCAGTAGTATTCTCTCCAGATGGGAAGAGAATTGTCTCTGGGTCAGATGATAGAACAGTCCGCATTTGGGATGCGGCAAGTGGTGAGCCAGTGGGAGCTCCTCTCACAGGACACAGCAATTGGGTTCGATCTGTTGCCTTCTCCCCAGATGGCAAGAGAATTGTCTCTGGGTCAGATGACAGAACAGTTCACATTTGGGATGCAGCAAGTGGTGAGCCAGTAGGAGCTCCTCTCACAGGACACACTGATTATGTTCAATCTGTTGCATTCTCCCCAGATGGACAGAGAATTGTCTCTGGGTCAGATGACAAGACAGTTCGCATTTGGGATGCAGCAAGTGGGGAACCAGTGGGAGCTCCTCTCACAGGACACACATATGGGGTTCAATCTGTTGTCTTCTCCCCAGATGGGAAGAGAATTGTCTCTGGGTCAGATGATAAAACAGTTCGCATTTGGGATGCAGCAAGTGGTGAGCCAGTAGGAGCTCCTCTCACAGGACACAATAGTTGGGTTCAATCTGTTGCGTTCTCCCCAGATGGCAAGAGAATTGTCTCTGGGTCAGATGATAAAACAGTTCGCATTTGGGATGCAGCAAGTGGTGAGCCTGTAGGAGCTCCTCTCACAGGACACAGTAATGATGTTCGATCTGTTGCGTTCTCCCCAGATGGCAAGAGAATTGTCTCTGGGTCAGATGATAAAACAGTTCGCATTTGGGATGCAGCAAGTGGTGAGCCTGTAGGAGCTCCTCTCACAGGACACAGCAATTGGGTTCAATCTGTTGCCTTCTCCCCAGATGGGAAGAGAATTGTCTCTGGGTCATATGACAAAACAGTTCGCATTTGGGATCCGGCAAGTGGTGAGCCAGTGGGAGCTCCTCTCACAGGACACAGCAATTGGGTTCAATCTGTTGCCTTCTCCCCAGATGGACAGAGAATTGTCTCTGGGTCAGATGACAAGACAGTTCGCATTTGGGATGCAGCAAGTGGTAAGCCAGTGGGAGCTCCTCTCACAGGACACACATATGGGGTTCAATCTGTTGTCTTCTCCCCAGATGGGAAGAGAATTGTCTCTGGGTCAGATGATAAAACAGTTCGCATTTGGGATGCAGCAAGTGGTGAGCCAGTGGGAGCTCCTCTCACAGGACACACATATGGGGTTCAATCTGTTGTCTTCTCCCCAGATGGGAAGAGAATTGTCTCTGGGTCAGATGATAAAACAGTTCGCATTTGGGATGCAGCAAGTGGTGAGCCAGTAGGAGCTCCTCTCACAGGACACAATAGTTGGGTTCAATCTGTTGCGTTCTCCCCAGATGGCAAGAGAATTGTCTCTGGGTCAGATGACAAAACAGTTCACATTTGGGATGCGGCAAGTGGTGAGCCAGTGGGAGCTCCTCTCACAGGACACAGCAATTGGGTTCAATCTGTTGCCTTCTCCCCAGATGGGAAGAGAATTGTCTCTGGGTCATATGACAAAACAGTTCGCATTTGGGATCCGGCAAGTGGTGAGCCAGTGGGAGCTCCTCTCACAGGACACAGCAATTGGGTTCAATCTGTTGCCTTCTCCCCAGATGGACAGAGAATTGTCTCTGGGTCAGATGACAAGACAGTTCGCATTTGGGATGCAGCAAGTGGTAAGCCAGTGGGAGCTCCTCTCACAGGACACACATATGGGGTTCAATCTGTTGTCTTCTCCCCAGATGGGAAGAGAATTGTCTCTGGGTCAGATGATAAAACAGTTCGCATTTGGGATGCAGCAAGTGGTGAGCCAGTAGGAGCTCCTCTCACAGGACACAGCAATTGGGTTCAATCTGTTGCCTTCTCCCCAGATGGACAGAGAATTGTCTCTGGGTCAGATGACAAGACAGTTCGCATTTGGGATGCAGCAAGTGGTGAGCCAGTAGGAGCTCCTCTCACAGGACACACTGATTATGTTCAATCTGTTGCATTCTCCCCAGATGGACAGAGAATTGTCTCTGGGTCAGATGACAAGACAGTTCGCATTTGGGATGCAGCAAGTGGTAAGCCAGTGGGAGCTCCTCTCACAGGACACACATATGGGGTTCAATCTGTTGTCTTCTCCCCAGATGGGAAGAGAATTGTCTCTGGGTCAGATGATAAAACAGTTCGCATTTGGGATGCAGCAAGTGGTGAGCCAGTAGGAGCTCCTCTCACAGGACACAATAGTTGGGTTCAATCTGTTGCGTTCTCCCCAGATGGCAAGAGAATTGTCTCTGGGTCAAATGATGAAACAGTTCGCATTTGGGATGCAGCAAGTGGTGAGCCTGTAGGAGCTCCTCTCACAGGACACAATAGTTGGGTTCAATCTGTTGCGTTCTCCCCAGATGGCAAGAGAATTGTCTCTGGGTCAGATGATAAAACAGTTCGCATTTGGGATGCAGCAAGTGGTGAGCCTGTAGGAGCTCCTCTCACAGGACACAGTAATGATGTTCGATCTGTTGCCTTCTCCCCAGATGGGAAGAGAATTGTCTCTGGGTCATATGACAAAACAGTTCACATTTGGGATGCGGCAAGTGGTGAGCCAGTGGGAGCTCCTCTCACAGGACACAGTAATGATGTTCGATCTGTTGCCTTCTCCCCAGATGGGAAGAGAATTGTCTCTGGGTCATATGACAAAACAGTTCACATTTGGGATGCGGCAAGTGGTGAGCCAGTGGGAGCTCCTCTCACAGGACACAGCAATTGGGTTCGATCTGTTGCCTTCTCCCCAGATGGCAAGAGAATTGTCTCTGGGTCAGATGACAGAACAGTTCACATTTGGGATGCAGCAAGTGGTGAGCCAGTAGGAGCTCCTCTCACAGGACACACTGATTATGTTCAATCTGTTGCATTCTCCCCAGATGGCAAGAGAATTGTCTCTGGGTCAGATGACAGAACAGTTCACATTTGGGATGCAGCAAGTGGTGAGCCAGTAGGAGCTCCTCTCACAGGACACACTGATTATGTTCAATCTGTTGCATTCTCCCCAGATGGACAGAGAATTGTCTCTGGGTCAGATGACAAGACAGTTCGCATTTGGGATGCAGCAAGTGGGGAACCAGTGGGAGCTCCTATCTGTTGCGTTCTCCCCAGATGGCAAGAGAATTGTCTCTGGGTCAAATGATGAAACAGTTCGCATTTGGGATGCAGCAAGTGGTGAGCCTGTAGGAGCTCCTCTCACAGGACACAGTAATGATGTTCGATCTGTTGCCTTCTCCCCAGATGGGAAGAGAATTGTCTCTGGGTCATATGACAAAACAGTTCACATTTGGGATGCGGCAAGTGGTGAGCCAGTGGGAGCTCCTCTCACAGGACACAGCAATTGGGTTCAATCTGTTGCCTTCTCCCCAGATGGCAAGAGAATTGTCTCTGGGTCAGCTGACAGAACAGTTCACATTTGGGATGCGGCAAGTGGTGAGCCAGTGGGAGCTCCTCTCACAGGACACAGCAATTGGGTTCGATCTGTTGCCTTCTCCCCAGATGGCAAGAGAATTGTCTCTGGGTCAGATGACAGAACAGTTCACATTTGGGATGCAGCAAGTGGTGAGCCAGTAGGAGCTCCTCTCACAGGACACACTGATTATGTTCAATCTGTTGCATTCTCCCCAGATGGCAAGAGAATTGTCTCTGGGTCAGATGACAGAACAGTTCACATTTGGGATGCAGCAAGTGGTGAGCCAGTAGGAGCTCCTCTCACAGGACACACTGATTATGTTCAATCTGTTGCATTCTCCCCAGATGGACAGAGAATTGTCTCTGGGTCAGATGACAAGACAGTTCGCATTTGGGATGCAGCAAGTGGGGAACCAGTGGGAGCTCCTATCTGTTGCGTTCTCCCCAGATGGCAAGAGAATTGTCTCTGGGTCAAATGATGAAACAGTTCGCATTTGGGATGCAGCAAGTGGTGAGCCTGTAGGAGCTCCTCTCACAGGACACAGTAATGATGTTCGATCTGTTGCCTTCTCCCCAGATGGGAAGAGAATTGTCTCTGGGTCATATGACAAAACAGTTCACATTTGGGATGCGGCAAGTGGTGAGCCAGTGGGAGCTCCTCTCACAGGACACAGCAATTGGGTTCAATCTGTTGCCTTCTCCCCAGATGGCAAGAGAATTGTCTCTGGGTCAGCTGACAGAACAGTTCACATTTGGGATGCGGCAAGTGGTGAGCCAGTGGGAGCTCCTCTCACAGGACACAGCAATTGGGTTCGATCTGTTGCCTTCTCCCCAGATGGCAAGAGAATTGTCTCTGGGTCAGATGACAGAACAGTTCACATTTGGGATGCAGCAAGTGGTGAGCCAGTAGGAGCTCCTCTCACAGGACACACTGATTATGTTCAATCTGTTGCATTCTCCCCAGATGGCAAGAGAATTGTCTCTGGGTCAGATGACAGAACAGTTCACATTTGGGATGCAGCAAGTGGTGAGCCAGTAGGAGCTCCTCTCACAGGACACACTGATTATGTTCAATCTGTTGCATTCTCCCCAGATGGACAGAGAATTGTCTCTGGGTCAGATGACAAGACAGTTCGCATTTGGGATGCAGCAAGTGGGGAACCAGTGGGAGCTCCTCTCACAGGACACACATATGGGGTTCAATCTGTTGTCTTCTCCCCAGATGGGAAGAGAATTGTCTCTGGGTCAGATGATAAAACAGTTCGCATTTGGGATGCAGCAAGTGGTGAGCCAGTAGGAGCTCCTCTCACAGGACACAATAGTTGGGTTCAATCTGTTGCGTTCTCCCCAGATGGCAAGAGAATTGTCTCTGGGTCAGATGATAAAACAGTTCGCATTTGGGATGCAGCAAGTGGTGAGCCTGTAGGAGCTCCTCTCACAGGACACAGTAATGATGTTCGATCTGTTGCCTTCTCCCCAGATGGGAAGAGAATTGTCTCTGGGTCATATGACAAAACAGTTCGCATTTGGGATGCAGCAAGTGGGGAACCAGTGGGAGCTCCTCTCACAGGACACACATATGGGGTTCAATCTGTTGTCTTCTCCCCAGATGGGAAGAGAATTGTCTCTGGGTCAGATGATAAAACAGTTCGCATTTGGGATGCAGCAAGTGGTGAGCCAGTAGGAGCTCCTCTCACAGGACACAATAGTTGGGTTCAATCTGTTGCGTTCTCCCCCAGATGGCAAGAGAATTGTCTCTGGGTCAGATGATAAAACAGTTCGCATTTGGGATGCAGCAAGTGGTGAGCCTGTAGGAGCTCCTCTCACAGGACACAGTAATGATGTTCGATCTGTTGCCTTCTCCCCAGATGGGAAGAGAATTGTCTCTGGGTCATATGACAAAACAGTTCACATTTGGGATGCGGCAAGTGGTGAGCCAGTGGGAGCTCCTCTCACAGGACACACTGATTATGTTCAATCTATTGCATTCTCCCCAGATGGACAGAGAATTGTCTCTGGGTCAGATGACAAGACAGTTCGCATTTGGGATGCAGCAAGTGGTGAGCCTGTAGGAGCTCCTCTCACAGGACACAGTAATGATGTTCGATCTGTTGCCTTCTCCCCAGATGGGAAGAGAATTGTCTCTGGGTCATATGACAAAACAGTTCGCATTTGGGATGCAGCAAGTGGGGAACCAGTGGGAGCTCCTCTCACAGGACACACATATGGGGTTCAATCTGTTGTCTTCTCCCCAGATGGGAAGAGAATTGTCTCTGGGTCAGATGATAAAACAGTTCGCATTTGGGATGCAGCAAGTGGTGAGCCAGTAGGAGCTCCTCTCACAGGACACAATAGTTGGGTTCAATCTGTTGCGTTCTCCCCAGATGGCAAGAGAATTGTCTCTGGGTCAGATGATAAAACAGTTCGCATTTGGGATGCAGCAAGTGGTGAGCCTGTAGGAGCTCCTCTCACAGGACACAGTAATGATGTTCGATCTGTTGCCTTCTCCCCAGATGGGAAGAGAATTGTCTCTGGGTCATATGACAAAACAGTTCACATTTGGGATGCGGCAAGTGGTGAGCCAGTGGGAGCTCCTCTCACAGGACACAGCAATTGGGTTCAATCTGTTGCCTTCTCCCCAGATGGGAAGAGAATTGTCTCTGGGTCATATGACAAAACAGTTCGCATTTGGGATCCGGCAAGTGGTGAGCCAGTGGGAGCTCCTCTCACAGGACACAGCAATTGGGTTCAATCTGTTGCCTTCTCCCCAGATGGACAGAGAATTGTCTCTGGGTCAGATGACAAGACAGTTCGCATTTGGGATGCAGCAAGTGGTAAGCCAGTGGGAGCTCCTCTCACAGGACACACATATGGGGTTCAATCTGTTGTCTTCTCCCCAGATGGGAAGAGAATTGTCTCTGGGTCAGATGATAAAACAGTTCGCATTTGGGATGCAGCAAGTGGTGAGCCAGTAGGAGCTCCTCTCACAGGACACAATAGTTGGGTTCAATCTGTTGCGTTCTCCCCAGATGGCAAGAGAATTGTCTCTGGGTCAAATGATGAAACAGTTCGCATTTGGGATGCAGCAAGTGGTGAGCCTGTAGGAGCTCCTCTCACAGGACACAGTAATGATGTTCGATCTGTTGCCTTCTCCCCAGATGGGAAGAGAATTGTCTCTGGGTCATATGACAAAACAGTTCACATTTGGGATGCGGCAAGTGGTGAGCCAGTGGGAGCTCCTCTCACAGGACACAGCAATTGGGTTCAATCTGTTGCCTTCTCCCCAGATGGCAAGAGAATTGTCTCTGGGTCAGCTGACAGAACAGTTCACATTTGGGATGCAGCAAGTGGTGAGCCAGTAGGAGCTCCTCTCACAGGACACACTGATTATGTTCAATCTATTGCATTCTCCCCAGATGGACAGAGAATTGTCTCTGGGTCAGATGACAAGACAGTTCGCATTTGGGATGCAGCAAGTGGGGAACCAGTAGGAGCTCCTCTCACAGGACACACTGATTATGTTCAATCTATTGCATTCTCCCCAGATGGACAGAGAATTGTCTCTGGGTCAGATGACAAGACAGTTCACATTTGGGATGCGGCAAGTGGTGAGCCAGTGGGAGCTCCTCTCACAGGACACAGCAATTGGGTTCGATCTGTTGCCTTCTCCCCAGATGGCAAGAGAATTGTCTCTGGGTCATATGACAAAACAGTTCGCATTTGGGATGCAGCAAGTGGTGAGCCAGTAGGAGCTCCTCTCACAGGCCACATACATGGGGTTCAATCTGTTGCCTTCTCCCCAGATGGAAATACAGTTGTTTCTGGGTCATATGATACCACAATCCGCATATGGGATAGTAGCACAGCACAGGTTAATCTCTCCCTATCCTGGAATATTGATGATGATGGTTGGGTTCTCTCCTCCACTGGGAATCTACTGTTCTGGCTACCTCCACATCACCGCCTTGGCTTCCGCATGCCACTGAACACCAAGGTCATTGGTGTTCCTGAAGTTGTCTTTGACTATCAGCACTTTGTTCATGGAGAGGATTGGGCTTCCTACTATAAGCCTCCTTCTTCTTGATATACTTCAATAGTACTTGCATGTATGATATGTGTAATACTTAGCCCTGCAAGTCTGCTTAGTGTATATAGCCAAGGATGATACATGTAGGATTTAGACATACTGTAGCTGTTTGTAGGAGTGAAACATCACACAGAACGGCTGGGGTGTTTCGTTGCAGTATCGTGAAACGCATCACGGTCAACGGTCATACTGTGTCAGGTTTTGTACCAAACGAAAAAATACATTATTTTGAGCAATGAAGCATATTATAGTTGATGGACGAGGAGTAGATATATGTTTGCGTTTCATGGCGGATGCGGATGCGATGCAGGGTGCGGAGTGAGCGTGAAAGTAGGTACAGACAGTACAATATTCTCTTTATATATGATCAGCAGTAAAATTGTCGAAGCACTGACAGAATGTGTCAAACAATGCATGAGAGTCATCCCTGCCACTTCAACTCATCCGTCCCTCATGCACTCATTGTTTCAGTCACATGACACCCATCACGCTCAATGCAACCACTGTTTCCTGTTTCAGTCCGTTGCAAGTGCATCATGGTTGGAAAACTGTTTCACTCCTACAAACAGCTACAGTAGTACTTTGATTAACTGCCCCCTGATTTTATATTTTTTTATGTGCCCAAGAAGACTGAAAAATTTCATTTTGATTTTGGCAAGGTCTTTTCTTTTTGGCTGTGTAATGGGTAACCTGGACACTTGGTCGCCAGACTACACAGTATACTTCAAGGCTATTAGTATAGGCTGCGTAATAGGTAACATGGAAACTTGATTGCCAGACTACAGTATACTTCAAGGCTATTCTTATAACAACTTCAGTGCGACAGCGACCGAGGGACAACAACACCACACAACGAGAATCAACAGCTCGATCCTATCATTCTGATTGTTTCCGTCTCAATATACACTCCAAATCGACTATACTTTTAACTTAGGCGCCGAATCCACATCCGCCTCCGCCGCCGGGGCCCTCCGCGACCGCGCGCGCGCCGCACTTGCCAGCTACAACACCGTCAGCACGGAACGCTCAGTCGTAAGTAGAAAGAAGAGACGCACTGTTCTTGGTGCAGCACCCGCTCGCACACTCGCCGTCGTTCGCGCACGCGCCGGTGATGAACTGCGTGCCGGGCGGCTTGCCGCTGCCAGCCGCCGCAGCGGGTGGTGCAGCAGCAGCAGGGGGTGCAGCAGCAGCGGGGGCGCCTCCAGCAGCGGGGGCAGCGCCGAAGCCGCAGCCTCCTCCACCGCCGGGGCCTTCAGCGACAGCACGTGCGCCACATTTGCCAGCTAAACGCGGTCAGTTCAGTGGGAGAGTGGAAGGGGAGCAAGACGCACTGTTCTTGGTGCAGCAACCAGACGCGCACTCGCCGTCGTTCGCACACGGGCCGGTGATGAACTGCGTGCCCGCGGGCTTGCCGCTTCCAGCAGCTGCAGCGGGGGGCGCGGCGGCGGCGGGAGGAGCAGCGGCGGCGGGGGGTGCAGCGGGCTTAGCGGCGCCGACGCCGCCAGCGACGAAGCCGCATCCGGTCTTGCCAGCCTGGGTCTGCGCGCCGACGCCCGAGCAGATTCCGGACGGGCCGGCGCAGCAGCCGGAGGCACAGTCCTTCTCGGAGAGACATTGGCCGCCGATGAACTGTTTGCCGACGCCGTTACCGACGTTGGCCGCACCAGCGGGGTCGAAGGGCGGGCCACCAACATTCGGTGGGGGCGTAGCGGGGGCGGCGGCCGCGGGGGGCGCAGCAGCGGCCGGGGGAGCAGCAGGCTTAGCCGCGCCAACACCGCCAGCAACAAATCCACACCCGGTCTTGCCCGCCTGCGTCTGCGCGCCGACGCCGGAGCAGATGCCCGACGGGCCGGCACAGCACCCGGAGTTGCAGTCGGCGGCGGAGAGGCATTGGCCGCCGATGAACTGCTTGCCCGCGCCGTTGCCGACGTTGGGGACGCCGGCGGGGTCGAACGGCGGGCCGCCGACGTTGGGCGGTGGGGCGGCGGCTGCTGCGGCTGCCGGGGCGGGCGCGGCGGCGGCAGCACCACCGGCGCCGAATCCGCAGCCTCCGCCGCCGCCGGGGCCTTCGGCGACTGCACGGGCACCGCATTTGCCGGCTGTGGCCAAGGTCAGCGAGGAGGAAGGAAGGGGAAGGGGACGCACTGTTCTTGGTGCAGCAGCCCGAGGCGCAGTCGGCGTCGGACGAGCAGGGGCCCGTGATGAACTGCGTGCCAGCGGGGACACGGGGGATTACCATGCCGGAGACGGCGAGCGCCACTGCAAGCGCATGTCAGCATCTGTGGCAAGGAAGGAAGGGAGACGCACTGTTAACGGCGAACGCGACCCTCAGGAAAGAAGTCGCGACCATGGTTGTTAGAGTAGGTAGTCGTAGTCGTTAGGAAAGAAGTATAAGCGGGACTGGCGAAGAGGCGGGAAAAAGGCAGACAAAGACACACGCAGTGTGCTCTGGAAGAAAGGAAAAAGAAAGGGGCGGGGTGAGGGCGAGGGCGAGGGAGACCGGGAGCTCTGCCCGTCCGACGCTCCACAAGGCCCTTTATACCGTGCCGCGTGCCAAGCGGAGAAGCGATCGCATATCACATCACATCAGTGGCGCTGCGGCGTTGCGACAAGACGTTGCCATGGCCGCAGCCATGCCCACCAGCAGTGAACGTCGTGCGCCTTCGACGGGAGGCACACCGCACGAGATGATCATCCCAGGGCTAGCTTCGCACTCACCAACTCCTATTAATTGTGGCCCAAGCCAACCAGTCTGCCATCAGCATATCACGCCCCAGCGCCGCCACATGCCCATCGCGGCGATCATGCCCATGCTATACGTGCGGGAAGATCGGCGCCGCACACGTCCTCCGACCGCGGCTAAATTGGGGCCAGAACACAATCAGCAGCCCGCGAAGCCATCACGCAGACGTGCGGTTCTCCATCGCCGCACATCTTACGCCTAGCCCCCCGCGACGGACGACGGACGACGGTCGCCGCTCGACGGTCGTCAGGCCCGCGTTGGCACTTGGCTGGGGCAAGCCGAGGGTGCAGGCTCAGGCTGGGCGGACAGAGTGGATGGGTACGTCAGCACGTCGACGTCACGGCCAGGGCGTGATCGGGTCGCAACTTGGCCTCGATACCCACGTTCTTTCCGCTCCAGTCGCTGGGCCTCAAAACTGCGGAGCGCACACTGGCTTGACGCGCATTCACGCCCGCCCCCGTTTAAGCCGCCTCCGCTCCTCGAGGAGATTAAGCGAAGCACCGGGCCCGGGCGGGGACGACGGTGACGCCCCATCCCACTTGCAGCGCTGCGCTCGCCCGCTTCGGAACTCGAGGGAGCAAGAAGGGCGGGGTTCGCCGTCCGCGTCCCGCCACTAAATCGCTCTATGCCCCGGTATGGATAATGGTACTACTTACTTATGTGGACTCCCAATGCCCGCTCGCCGCGGCAACAGATCCAGAGTTTGTAGAAACAAGCAACGCACAACGCTCGCTCCACCCACCCGCGCCAGAAGCGGCGTCCAGCTGCAGCTTCGCCGTCCGCATCCCGCCGCTAGTCACCATCTTCTTTGCGTATATAAAGGAGCAGCACCCTACCGTAGCTCCCCAGACCCCCAAACAAACAAACTTGACTCGTCGCAAAAACTGTACGTGCTCCCTTGCGTCGTCGCCCTGCTGAGTCTGACGGCATCGCACACCCACAGCACCCAAAACCCGAACTTGACAACATGCGCCTCCTCACCACGACGCTCGCGCTCCTCGCCGCGGCGGCCACGGCCTCCGCGTGCCGCTGGTGCCAGTGCCTCAACGCGAGCGGCGGGCACTGCTGCCTCTACACCGTGCGTCCCCTCTCCCAGCCTCGTCGCTCCCGCAGTTGCTGACTGCCCCGTCCCGCAGGCGGGCGACACGAACACGGACTGCGCAGCGGTGTGCCAGACGGTGCACGACGCGAACGGGAACACGTGCAACGCGGGCGGGAGCAGCAAGTGCGCGACGCTCCCCGAGTGCAACGACCGCTCGCACTGCCGCGAGAGCCACGGCTGCTTGTAGGCCCAGCAAGCCCTAACGTGTGGAATTGGACGTGACTGTAGTACCTGTACTCATAAGAAGTGTTGAAGACATCATTGTTGAAACCAATTCAAGATCCGAATATAGGGTTGGAAAGTCTTGTTTCGACCCCCTCCTGCCATATAGGGTAATATGTGCCGATGATTAGCATCATGTGACCACTGATGCGATCAAAAAGTGAGCCAAAAAATTTAATCTTCATGAAACTTTTTTTTAACAAAAATATGTATTTGTATATGTGTGTAGGTATATATGTACCTGAAACTTTCAAACACACATTTGCATGCATGTGTAACAGCCTGCTAAACTATCCCTTTGTTGTTCTCCTACCATTCTTGACTAATAAATGTTGCTTTGAAGACTACTGTTTAGCAAAACTGGTATCTGCTCCTTTCAAGTTATAAAAAAACAGTTTCTCATACATATTAAATTAGTATTTAGGATGATATCAAGAAAATTGTTTGTCATAATAGGTGGCCCAATCCTTCCCATGAATAAAATTCTCATAGTTGAAGCTAACCTGAGGAGCACCAATAACCTTTGTAGTTAAAGGCCATGTATGCGATCTGGAGGTAACCACAACAATAAGTCATCATCTCCAGACATCACCCAACCACTCTCTTCAGTCCTCCAGAATGGGGCAGAGATTAGCTTTTCATTTGTGATATCTGATATACGGACTGTCCCATCAAGTGACTTAGATGCAACTTTATCACCATCTGGTGAAAATATAACAGACAGTACCCGCTCTGTATGGCCAGCAAGAGGAATTCCAATTTGTTTTCCATATGTAGCATCCCATATGGAGACCATCCTGTCATGAGACCCAGAGGCAACTATACTACTATCAGGTGAGAATGTAAGAGAGATCACAGGACCACTGTGCCCAACAAGAGAAGGTCCAATTTGTTCTCCTGTTAGAACATTCCATATACAGATCATTCCATCTTGAGAACCAGATGCAACTCTGGTACCATCAGGTGAGAATACAACTGATTCTACTGAGCTACTATGCCCAGTTCCAACAAGAACTGCTTCAGTATGCTCTTGACCAGCAGTATTTATAATGTGGACAGTTCCATCATGAAACCCACAAACCATCTTCTTGGTATCCTGGGAAAATGCAATAGATATCACCAGCTGACCCTTGCCAACAAGAGGAGCCACAATCTGCTCTCCAGTCTTTGCATCCCACACAAAAGCCTTTAAATCGGGCGATCCAGATACAATTCTAGCTGCAGGAGGTTTACCTTGTGCCTCCCTTGTAAGATCCCAAATAAGGCTTGTTGTATTAGAGACAGAGGCAATTCTATCACCAGCTAATGAGAATGTAACTGACAATACCCAGCCATCATGCCCCACAAGTGGTGCTCCAATTTGTTTTCCACTTATGACATCCCATATACAAATTGTCTTATCAAGAGATGCAGAAGCCATTCTGGTGCCATCTTGTGAGAATATCAGAGATGTCACTGAGTCATTATGCCCAATCAGAGGAGGTCCAATTGGGTCTCTACTGGTGGCATCCCATATGTTGATTGTCCTGTCTTCAGATCCAGAGACAATTCTCTTAGCATCTGGAGAGTATGCAACTGACCTCACTGGACCAGTATGCCGAGAAAGAGGAGCTCCAATTTGCTTCCCAGTTTTGGCATCCCATATGCAGACTGTGCTGTCACTAGACCCAGAAACAATTCTGTTACCATCTAGTGAGAATGCAACTGCCCTCACTGAGGCACTTGTGTGCTCACTCATAGCCACTCTACCTTCCTGTTGACTTATGACATCCCAGATATAGATACTGGAACTAGATGCAGAGGCAATTCTATTGCCATCTGGTGAGAATGAAACAGATATAACCTGCTCACTGGCATCATGCCCTGCAAAAGGAGTTCCAATTTGCTTTCCACTAGTAACATCCCAAATACAGATTGTCCCATCTCTATGTCCAGAGGCAATTTTGTCTTCATCTGGTGAGAATGCAACAGAAATTACAGGCTCACTATTGCTGAACAAACAAGCCCCAATTTGTTCTCCACTAATTGCATCCCATATACAGATACTCTGATCATCAGACAATGAGACAATTTTTGTGTGATTGGGGGAGATGGCCTGAGCTTGCATTGCTATACTACACTGAGTTTTCTGTTTGGTTGTCATATCCCAGATGCAGATTGTTCTATCCTTAGACCCTGACATAATTGTGTTGCCATCCTGTGAGAATGAAAGGGATATGATTTCATCACTGTGTCCAGTTAGATGCTCTCCTAACTGCTTCCCACTTGTGGCTTCCCAGATGCGGATAGTCCCATCACCAGACCCTGAGGCAATAATCTTCCCATCTGGTGAGAATGCAACAGAATTTACCCAGTCTCTGTTTTCAGCAAGATGAGCTCCAATTGGCTTTCCAATTTGCTCCCCACTTGTAGCATTCCATAGGCAGATAGATGTCATATAAGACCCAGAGACAATCATATTGCCATCAGGTGAAAATGCAACTGCACATAACCCAGACCCAACCTGAATTTCAGATAGGATTGTTGACCAGTTGCTCCAGCGACCTGTCTCCAAGACCAATGCTTGCTGTTGAGGATTTGATAGCTCATATGTCAGTGCCTGTAAGGGAAGTTGAGACAATGCTGATATGTAAAGATGTGGTGTGCTCTTGGTAATACATTTCCCAAAGACTTGGAGAAATCTACCAATGTCTAGTAGCAGGGCTTTGAGTCCTGGGTTCTGCAAATGTTTTAAAATTATAAACCCTCTGAATAGATAGAGACATAACTGACCTTAATCTCTTTTGCACAATGCTGGATCTGCTGTATTGTCTTGCCAACATGATCTACCAGACTTATCACCTCAACCCAGAAGCACCACTTGAGCTTTAAGAAGTTCAGAATACTCTCCAAACTTTGATCATGTGTAGTGATATGCTCTATCCAGTGCCTGCTGCAGTATTCTAGCACCCTGGAAATGTTTCCCCTGATATCAATCATCTGTTCTTGATTTGATTTGTGAGATGTTGGGATGTTACAAATGTTAAATTTCAACTGTTTTGATAATATCTGTAGCACTTGTCCTATAACATATGTCTGAGCTTTCCCAGCACTGCAACTTAGATCTGGATTATAGTGGTCTCTAGGTGGCAAGTGCATGAAATCTTTGAAGGATAAGTGATATATCTGTACTAGTCCAGTATGATCATTCTCATCAGGAATGTGTATTACTGCACTGAATTCCATCAGAGTGCTGTGAGTATCCTCTCTGGTCATATTGAGAAATGTAGAGAGACTATCAAGATCTAATGGCTCTACCAAATTCAGAACAGTGTGCAAGACAGCAAGTTGTTCTTGATATCTATCCTGCTCCTGTGGATCAGGATCTTGACCAAGTGGTTGGATTACCACTGAAATAATGCCATTATAGAGTTCCTTCAGTGCTTTATGACCCTTTGGAAGAGTCTGAAGATACTCTGCTTGCCTATCCCATATTTTATGTCCCTTATGGATAAAACGTACACAAGTGGCCGCATATATAAATAGTCCAGCTGAATGTTGTGTGATATATGAGAGAGCTAAAGCAGCTTTTGACTTGTCATGCCATTTTACTGAAGTGCTAGGCAATTTAGAGTTGAGATATTTGCTAATATCTGTTTGTACAGTTGTCCTATCCAAATTGTCTAATTTCACATGAAATAGTGACAAATTATGCTGTTCTCTCATGATAGACCTAGGAATCTCTGGCCGACCAGTCAAGAAAAACCCGAACATATGGAGGAAGCTGGCCCTTTGCAGCATTAAGCCATGATATTATGATGTCACCATGACTTTCCCCACATTCATCCAGGGCATCTAGACAAATAATCCAAAATGGTGACCCAGAGGTAAAATTTAGTTTGCCTAACAACTGTACCACAAGTTTGTCAAACTGATCCGAAGTGTTTTCATCTAGAACCTGAAACTGGGTTTCAAGAAGAAAGTCTACCAGAAGCTTCTTAAACTGCATATTGTACTTGGCTAGCTGACATGCAAGTGCAACAGGCAAGCTAGAACTATCACTTCGTCCAGGAAAGCGGTATGAAAAGAAGAATGATGCAGCAAGATTCTTGTCTTTTGCTAGTAGTGTTGCTATAGTTTTGGCAATAGTTGACTTTCCAGAACCTGCAGATCCACTAAGAAGTACAAATTGTGATGTGTGACTGGGGGAAATCAAGTGATCAATGATATCATTTATAACTTCCACTCGTGTATCCTCAAGACATAAGTCCGGAGTGTTTTCGGCATTATATTGGGCTGGGACTTTATATTTGATAGCAAGTTTATCCATGACCCTGTTGATTTTATCTAATAATAGAGTTAATTGAATATTACCATAGTTTTAGACTCACTATCTGTCTCTATTCTGTGAACAGCTTCATTTAAAATACTGATGCTTCTTAGCTACCAGCCATTTAAGTTATCTATGACAAGGTTTATTTGAGATCTTACCAGAAAGTCTTGAGATAGTTCCTGAAGCTTGACTTTGATATCACTTATACTTTTCTTGATAAAGGAACTCTTTAAAAGATTTCTCTTCTTTTTTGAAGCTTCATAAAGTGCTTGACATTCCAAGATAAATGGCTTCAAATTACTAAACTCAAAGATTCAGCATACAGGGGGTCTTATAATTGATGTCTAACCTCTGCAACTCATTGAAATCCTTCTGGGACTGTGACACTTGATTCATGTGGACTATTTGCATTCCACACAAGGCTTCAAGCCGTCTGATAAGCTCAGGAAGCTCCTCTTTGTTTGAACTTGCAGTCTATGGCCTGTGAGAATATGTAACATAACAATAGTCTTGCCTTACCGAGACTAGCTGCAGAAGGCTTTGGACTCCTGCCAGTGCTGCGCTGATTGCTTGACCAGCAACCGGAATACTCGGTGTAACCTTAGCAGCCAGTCCGACTGCTTCAGCTGCAACATCCAGGGCTTCAATTGTCTTTTGTGCAGACTTCTGTGCAGGGGGGAGGGGGAGTGGCAACATGGTAGTTGGGAGGAAAGACGTTGAGTAGCAGATACAATGTGAGACCTTGTGGGTTTCATCTGTCACTGTCCATGATCGGGAGAAGTGGCAGAGTTATTGAAATGACGCCTCCTGAAGTCAGGCTCATCAGCAGTTGTATGAATGATATGAATGATATGAATGATACATTCGAGACGTCAGACCACAAATAGTCATCCGTGTGAGTGGTACCCACACCCATGGTTACTCCAACGAGATGCGCACATCAACTTGAACTCCTCCGCCTCTCCCAAAATTTGCCTTCTCTTCAATGCCAAGGCAAGATAGCTCGTCAATGGCCCCACATCTATCCTGCCTCTGCCTGGTCACCGAAACCTGTCCAGCGGTTGGTTGTCGACGTCGGCTTTACGCCATTTGCTGATCGGCATCGCCAACGTCGTCTTGATCTGTTTCTTTTAGTTAGGAGCGGGTTCCATCTCCGAGCTTGAGCTCTCGACCACGGGTGCTCCAGGTGGCTACCATTCAAGTACATGGCTACCATTCAAGTACAACAGAGGGACGATGGGCGGGGGCGGCGGTCCGGAAACGGCGGAGTCGTCACGTCCGGGTCCGCGTTGCACCGGAGTAAAAGCTCAACGAGATTCGGAGCATGCGTCGGAGCCAGTAAATGCATCAGCATTATTATAATCTTACAGAATCAATCTAGGCTCGTAACTTGAATCTTGGACGACGATCTTTCCCGTCTTGGCCATGTGCGGTAGGCCGCGCAGCACCACCTGCTCAAATGACACCACGGCCTCGTGTCTCCGGTCCTCAAAGGCGCCGGCCACCGGCAACCATCGCAGCATGCTCAGTGACGTGAGTGCCTGCAGCGCGTCGTCGAGCGGGTGCATTATGTCGTCAGAGAGCGGCGCCAGCGGGAGCGCGGACTGCGGCCCCAGCAGAACGACGAGGGTGATTTCCGAAAGTTTGGGGCATGCTTCATCCGCTGCGACGGCGCGCAGGAGGCGCGGAAGGACTTGGGACTGGGGGGCCACAGATGGGTTGTTTGTCGGCCTATAGAGATGGTACAATCCGATGGTTAGTTGGAGAGCGCGGAGCTGGGGAAGGCGGGCGGGGAGCGCTACGGGAGCTGCGTCTGTTAACCCTACAATGTGCGCTCAGTATGGTCATGCGGAAGGCCAAAGCTTGACGCACAGACGCAGTTCAACTGGAGCATGGTGAGTGTTGCTGCCGATGGGTAACACAGTGTGCTCAGGTTCATCGGCGTCGCTCTCGTCTCTAGCATGTGGAGCTGGTTGAGGTGTTCTGTGAATTCAGACTGCTGCAGTACGTCCTCTGCACTTGAAGCATACGCGATGCGCAGCTCCCGAATAATGAGCTGCCATTCCCTTTCGTTCACCCGCCGAATCCACTCCGCCTCCTCTTCTGCACTCTCGGTCCCCGGTTCGGGGTCGACGCTGAGACTGACTTCGATGACATGAAAAGTCGGGCTGGAGATGAGGAGCACAAGTAGCGCCGCCTTGGATAGCTCCGCAATGCGCGATAGCATGATCTGCACCAGCGTCGCCTGCGCCAAAAGCCATTCGAGCAACGAACTCCGCACTGCGCTGCTCACAGTTCCCCACATGATCCCATCCGCCCCGAAGAGTGCGCATCGTGTGACCCGCATCAATCCTTTGAAGATCGCTGTCACCAGCTCTTCCGCGTCCGCTGGGTCGTCCCCTTCCTCGGACGCCAGGAGGATGTTGACCCTCAGGACATAGCGCGCAAGATGGGGCGTTGCCGCTAAATGGCGCCCCGCTTCCACATAGGTATATACCGGTTGTAGCTCGGGCATCGCTTGGCTGGCCTCACGGGCGTCGTCTTTGTCGCTCGACGTCGTGAACGACAATTGGTTGTGCAGCCGCTTTTGGCAGGCGTGGACGAATACGGACGCGGCAAGCGCACAGTTCTGTAGGCAGGCACGGTCCGGGAGGTGCTCCACTATGAGGCCGAGAAGCTCGAGTGGCAGCCGCGGGCCACTCATGGTCGGGAGTCGGGACGAAGTTAGGGAGGGAAAAAAGTGACGTGTGACGTGCCTCTTCACCTCTCTTCACACGTCACACAGCACGTCACATTCCTTGCTTGTCGTCAACGGCCATCATGGCTTCTCAGAGCTTCGGCCGGTCGCAACTATTGTTTGCCCAAGTCTCTCACATTGACAGTCTGTCGAAATTACGCCGGCGACATAACCTCAGGGTGCGGCAGTCTTTCCTAGTGTTCGTCACGGGTGGCGTGACCCGTGACGGGCCGCGAGGACGGGCCGGTGCGGGTACGGGTACGGGCCTGGTGCCTTGAACCCGCTGGCCCGCACCTTGGCCCGCCGGGCCCGGCTGACCGGCATACCGGTGGTCGGCGGGCAAGGCCGGGAGCTGTCGCGTCCCTTGAACGGAGGTCTGGCCAAGGTCCGGGCAGCCCAGACCTCGTTGTCGGGCGATAACTCGACATCGACACACATTTGGCAGTGCATCCGGCGAGATCCGCCGCTGATCAGATCGTGCGGGCCGTGGGCAACCGGGCTACCCGCGGCCCGCCCGCCAAAGCGCGGGTACCCGCACCCGCCGCCACGGGCCCGGGCCATCGGCGGGGACGGGTACGGGCCACCCCGGATTTACCCGCGGGTGGCCCGTGACGAACACTAGTCTTTCCGACTCTCCGGCGGTGTCAAAAGCGACCCCCACAACGAACTCGCCTCACGACGCACGGTCAGACTGCGGACACCCCAGATATTAACTTCCAGGCTCCTAATCCCAAACTCCCACGCCTTCGCCACCGCGACCGCGGTCCGCCGGGCCAGATCATGACTGCTTATCGTCTTCTGATTCTCAGGCTGGCTCCAACCTCTGCTTCCGATACACACGCGTACACAGACCGCCACTGGGCCCAGCCCAATTGTCCAAATTGACATTGCTTCTCTTTGTCGGTATCTCGCTATTTCTGTTTCATTGCTCACCAGACCACCCAGAAACAATAAGCCCGTGTCCGTTTAAATACCGCGGGCGGTGCGACATGGCACTCTGCCAGTGGATCGCCATGCCCCAGCTCCTCGACATGCCGGAGGAGCTCCTCGAGCTAGCTTTGTCTCGCTTGTCATTTCGCGATCTCATCTCCCTCACCGCGACCAACCGTGCACTGCGCACATTTATCCTCTCCACGTCCATTCGGCTCCAATACCAGTTTTACCTCGAATGCTTTGCCGTGCAAGAGCAATTGCCCGCGGGCCCCGGGCCAGACCCGCCAACCGCGCGCCAGCTGGAGCTCCTCATTGAGCGCGAGCGACGCTGGCTCAATTTAGCGCCAGCGCAGACGGCGATGCTGCGCTGGCCGGGAGACATGGAAGCACACGTGGTCCCGGGGGGACTCGTTTGCACGTCCGGGTTTGATTCCCAGGAACAATCATCGTGGAACGAGGAGAAGTTCGACGAGGATTACGGGGTGAAACTCGTTACCACGAGGGTAGCAGCAGTAGCCACTCCGGGCCCACAGCGCGAGCTGCAGCGGCGGCTCGAATGGGCCGAATGCACCCTCACCTTCCATCTCGCGGCGATGTGCGTGTCCGAGGAGGAAGACTTGATCATCGTCTTGGAACAGTTGCGTCATCCTTGCCCGCTATTACCTTCATTACCTGATTCATTGTAGTCTACCCGATTTAACGAATGAGGTGTTGGTGGCGCAGCTCCGTTTCCTTTCGCTCTCGACAGGCCTCCCGCATCCGAGCGGGGCACAAGCTACCATCATTCTCGAAGAATGTACATTATCGCCGGAATTCTGGGACCGTACGCCGCTCGGGAGAACGAGCTCAATGCAGCGCGCTGGTAGCACGCTTGCGGTGATTGTTTTCTGGTATGAGACTCCTGGCAACGAGGTCCTACGGCTCCACGTGCTCGACTGGCCGAGCGGTAGAGATATTATTGTACGTTGACGTCAATGGTCCATAGACCCACAGTCGCGTACAACTAACTCATCTGGCTGCAGAGACCTATGGAGTGCAACGTACCCGTACTCGCCTTCCTCCGCCCGGACGTGCTCCTCATCGCCCACGCCTCAGAGGCTTCAAGTTGCCTTAAGGTTGTACTAATTCCGCCGCTGGAAGCGGAGCCCGTGGCAGTGAAGCCGGTGGCCAACTTGGAGTTCCCTCTATTTGATGGCGATGTGGCAATGGAGACAGAGTTCTGCTTCTGCCGACCAACAGCATCTCTCGACCGCGCTGCCCGCTTCCCATCACGCGATGATGATGCCGAGCTGCGTTTCCTTCCACGTCACCGCGATTCGCTCCTGTTCATCACATACCGGGTCGATTTATATACGGGGGGCATAATGTTTGAACACACGCTGATTGTGCGGGTAGACAAGCTGCTTGCCGTACTTGCAGCCACACCGTCCACAGCCGTTTTTACGCCGGACGCCTGGCTCCCGCAGTGTGCACGCTGGATAGATCCCGCGCCGTTCTTGCCGCCGGACGACGTGCCGTTGTGCGCCTATACCTGGCACCTCCAGCATCTCGCCGACTCCGGGCAGCGCGTCGCCGGGTTTCAGAACCCGGAAAACTTCATGGGGCCCGTCCCGCTTCTCGTCATCGATGCTAACCCATGGACAGTCGAGCTCGTACAGCGCGCCGCCCGGGCGTCCACAGCTATGTACTCAGGGCCCAGTATAGGTCCTGATCCGCCGATCTGGCGCCGGCTCGGCATCCTGCCGGGCATTGAAGCCGACGGCACCCTGCGCACCGAGAGCGGCGCCGTCCTGCGGCTCGTACTCCCCAGCGACCCCGTCACTGTGGTCACGCAGGATGCATTCAACACGTTCGCCGACCCGCCCACACAGTCCGCCCTTGCGTATGTGGAGATCACGGCCCCCGCGGCGGCGGGATATGACTGCCAGTTCTTGTATATGAACAACGAAAGCATCATTATCAGTGGGCCAGAGGTGCATTTTATGCTATTCACATTTGAAAGCTCATATTTTTCCAGGATGATCCGGAAACAGCTTTGGTTCTGTACTTTGGGTGAGAATTTATAATGATGCAGGAGGACCTGGATCTTCAACAGCGGGGGATTTGTTGAAACAAGGATTTCTAGGAAGTACCTTGATGAATGGATAAAAAACTAGTCCAGATTGAAAAAAAATTGCTCTGTTTTTACAAAAAGTTTATCTTTTGCTGAGTTGGAAAGGTGCAGCAAAACTTTTAAGTTTCTTGCAGGAAGAAAGAACATCTTTGTGCAACGACAAAAGACAGAAAGAAAGAACATCTTTTTGTGCACTTTCTGTGTCATTGAAATGAGTTCTTTGTGTGGCCAAAAAAGGAAGTTTGAAAGAGGGGCATTTCCAGGGAGCTTCAAGTTTTCATTCGCTCAAAAAGGTCACCTTTTTTAGTAGACAGAAAGACATGCAGAAACGTCATATTTTAGATAACCTTTCATGAGCAGAGAAAGATGATTTTTTTTGTAGCTGAAAGGGATGCAAAATGTCAGACTGCGGGTTGGGCCATGCAAGGTCCTCTCCTAAGAACGCGCGCCCGGAACGGAACAGACAGATATTTGGGCCCGCGAGTATGGCAAGCAGGGTAGATCAAAGCTGAAAGGGCCCGTTAACTCGGTCCCTTGTCGTCAGTAATGGTCGAAGGTTCGAATCGGGTCGTGTCGGGCCCGATAAGTCGATGGCACCTCCTTGCATGGAGTAAGGTAGTTCTTCAGACGATCTAAGCGATAGAGTACATGGTACACTATCGCGCCTTATATACGCGGGCCCGCAAAGGGGGTAATCGGACACCCTGGCCCTGTCAGGGGAACCTCCCTTTCGGCCCCTCGGAGACGATTCCAATTCCGGTCCGACTCCGGCTCCGACTCCGGTGATCGCATCACCGCCTCCGTCAGGCGCATCGCCGCCCCCGCCTGGCGATCCCCCTGGGACCTGGCCTGCGACATGGCGCAGGCATACTGCACGGAGCAACGATCAACCTTGGCGCGTCAAGAGCGCAGTATATAGTTCCGCTACCTAGCAGGCGGACCCTTAGAGTTTCTTCTCTTTGGATCCTCCCCTGCTAGGTCAGCCTCACTTGTATTTGCTTACTTCTATTCACTCTTTGGATCCTCCCCTGCTAGGACCTTGATCTCAGGCCTCCGGGGTTGCCCTTACAGCAGAAGAAACTCTCTACGGGATCAACCGGACAAGATTGCTAGGTTCGGCGCTGACTCAGGCTCGGAATACGAGTCCGTTCCGCCCTCGTCACCCCCCCTACCACTTGTCCCCTCCTCCTCTGTCACTCCTGTCATCCCCGCACCTGTCATGCCTTCCGGAGCTACTCCTGACGCTGACACTCGGCTGGATGCACTCGAGGCGAAAATCGACCGCCTAACTGAGGCCCTTACTCTTCTCACCACCCAGGCTTCCGCTGCCGCTGCCGCCGCTAATACTGCTGGCGGACCCCAAACAACACCACCCCCGGAGACGTCGATTCCGACTCCGACTCCGGTTCAGGGCGGTTCCGAGGCCCTTTTTGGCGACATCAACCTCGCCTCAAAATTGGTCTTGCGACCAAACCCTCCGTTCACCTTCAGCGGCGATCGGAAACGCGGCCGCGCGTTTCTCTATGCGGTCCGCACCTACGCCCGCCTTGCCCCTGAGGCCTTCGTGGTCAACGGAGAGGCGAGCGAGGAAAAGGCCGTCCGCTATGCCATGTCGTTTATGGCAGAAGGACCCGCTCAGCAATGGGCGGAGCGCCACGGAAGCAAAGCCCCGTTTCCGTTTCCGTCCTGGGGCTCGTTCGTTTCCGAGTTCCGACTCCGGTTCGTCGAGGAGAATGAGCAAGATCATGCTCTCTCCAAACTGGAGACTTCCGCCTATCACATGGGCACAAAGGATGTCTACCAGTACACCGACGACTTCGAGGACCTAATGGACCTCGCCGGATTCGAAGACGCGTTGGTCAAGGTGACCAAGTTCCGCCACGGACTTGACCCCCTGATCAACAACGGAATCACGTCCTCGAACGACCCCCCGGACCTCCGGGACTACCTTAGCTGGCGCACCCGGGCCTTCCGTCAATACGAGGCCCTGGTCCGGGCCAAGCTGATCAAGTCAGCCGCCCCCAAGACGCCTGGCGGTTTGATTCGGACTCCGTTTCCGGTCAACCGCATCCCGGCTCCGGCCCCTTTCCGCCCGGTGGCTCGGGTCGTGCCACCCGTGGCCCGCGCCCCCCGCTCCGGCGCCTCCAGCTCCCGTCCCCATGGAGTTGGATCGCACTAGGGCTCGGGGTGCCCCTCGTCGCGCCTGCTTCAGGTGCGGCGACCCAAACCATCTCGCCCGGGATTGCCCCCTCCCCGCGGACGTCCGCTCAATGGACATCCTCGACGAGGTGATCCAACAACTCGGTGACGAGATGTTAGCGGAGTTGATCGCCCGCTACTCGGACACAGCTGCGCTGCCGGAAACAGTCGCGGAGTCGATGGCCGGAGAGGATTTTGTCCCCGCGACGAGTGACTGGTGTGCCCTCGTTCGCGTCCGTAAATCGTTTCGCTTGTTTGTATGACGAATCAATTCCTTTGCCCTACAACGAGCCTGAAACGAAAGACATACCCTCCCCGCCCCCCGTTTCGACTCCGTCTCCGACTTCGCCCGCGACTCCGGTCATCGTCCTTCGCCGCCTCACTGCCTGGGAAAAGAAACTGCCCAAGCAGTACACTGTCGCTGCTTCCCCTGGAGTGAACTCCCTCCACCTCCCGTTGGAGCTAGAGTCCACTACCAGCGCGCTTAAGCTCTCGCTCTCTGGCCTGGTTGACTGTGGTGCCACCTCCGACTTTATCGACACGAACTATGTCGCTCGGAATGGCATTCCGGTCCGCACCCTGGCGCAACCGATTCCGGTCTTTAACGTTGATGGCACTCCGAACGACGCCGGCTCCATCAACCAGATCGCGGACTTGGTCTTACGCTACAAAGGCCATTCCGAGCGCGTTCAACTCGCCGTCACTCATCTTGGTAAACAAGACCTTATTCTGGGGTACTCCTGGCTGGATTCCGGTCTTTAACGTTGATGGCACTCCGAACGACGCCGGCTCCATCAACCAGATCGCGGACTTGGTCTTACGCTACAAAGGCCATTCCGAGCGCGTTCAACTTCGCCGTCACTCATCTTGGTAAACAAGACCTTATTCTGGGGTACTCCTGGCTGCGGAAGCATAACCCGGAAATCAATTGGGAAACCAAGGAGGTCAAGATGACACGGTGCCCCCGCGGTTGCTCCACTTGCCGCGAGGAAGAACGCGTTGAACGGACTGAGCTACGGCGACTCCGGCTGCTCCAGAAGCGACTCCGCTCCGGCCCGTTCCCCTCGGTCTGCGCCATGGACCTCTCTGGGCCTGACGACGGAGACGATTCCATCCCCGGTGACGACTCCGCCCTGCCTGATCTGATGCCGGACTCCGACGACGATGAAGACGATGGTCAGCTTGAAGATGGTGACCGCATCTTCTACACCTCGTTCCGCCCCTCGGAGGAGATACGCGCTGGCAGTACTGTCTCACAGCGCCTGGCCGAAGCCTTCGCCAGGAACTCCGCCCCTCCGCCCTCCGAGATCCCGGACTGGGCTAAGGAGTTTCAGGACGTCTTCAACAAGGAGTCCTTCGACACGCTACCGGAGCGGAGAGCCTGGGACCACGCCATTGAACTCGTCCCCGACGCTAAGCCCACCAACTGCAAGGTGTACCCCATCTCGCCCCTCGAGCAACGCGAGCTCGACGCTCTCATCGAGGAAGGGCTTTCGACGGGCCGGATTCGCCCCCTCCAAGTCTCCGATGGCGTCTCCGGTCTTCTTCGTCAAGAAGAAGGACGGCGGACTCCGCTTCGTCCAGGACTACCGTGCTCTCAATGCGATGACTGTCAAAAACCGGTACCCCCTTCCGCTGATCAACGACCTCATCAACCGGCTCAAAGGCGCTCGTTACTTCACCAAACTCGACGTCCGTTGGGGCTTCAACAACGTCCGGATCAAGGAAGGTGACGAGTGGAAAGCGGCTTTCCGGACTAACCGAGGCCTGTTCGAGCCCTTGGTGATGTATTTCGGCCTGACAAACTCTCCCGCGACGTTCCAAACGATGATGAATGACATTTTCCAGGACCTCATCCTCTCCGGAGACGTCATGATCTACCTTGACGACATCCTGATCGCCCATTCCGACCTCCGGAAACACCGGCAGATCGTTCAGGAGGTCTTGCAGCGACTCCGAGAGCACAAGTTGTACCTCCGAGCGGAGAAGTGCGACTTTGAAAAATCGTCAATTGAGTACCTCGGAGTCATCATCTCCCACAACCACGTCGAAATGGACCCCGTCAAAGTCGCAGGCGTCTCCGCTTGGCCGACTCCGGAAAACAAGAAGGACATTCAGCAGTTCCTTGGGTTCGCTAATTTCTACCGCAGGTTCATTCGGGACTTCTCGACCCTTGCGCGCCCTCTTTTTGTGCTCACCAAGAAGGACCAGCAATGGACTTGGGGCGACGCGGAGGCCTCCGCGTTCCAAGCGATCAAGGACGCAGTCACCTCGGAACCGGTCCTGGCGATTCCGGATGACGCACGGCCTTTCCGACTTGAGGCGGACAGCTCTGATTATGCGACGGGGCGGTTCTTTCACAATCCGCCCCGGACGGGAAGTGGCACCCTGTAGCATTCTATTCCAAAAGCTTAAATGATGTCCAGCGCAACTACAAAATCCACGACAAGGAGATGCTGGTGATCATCCGCGCACTCGAGGAGTATAGACACTTCCTCGAGGGCGCCGCCATCCCGTCGAGATTTGGACTGACCATAAGAATCTGGAGTACTTCAGGAAGACGCAGCACCTCAACCGGAGACAGGCCCGCTGGTCCCTCTACCTCTCCCGGTTCGACTTCACGCTGCACCACAAGCCCGGCCGCGACATGGGCCGACCTGACGCCCTCTCTCGGAGACCAGACCACGGAATCGATTCCGACAACTCCGACGTCGTCCTTCTGCGGCCCGAACTCTTCCATGTCCGCGCTCGAAGGCGTTTCCGTTTCCGGCCCTGGTTCTGAACTCCTTCGCGACATCCGCGATGCCCTCTCCGGTGAGCCTGACCTGGAGGAGCCCGTCGCACTAGCGGCCCGGCAACTCCTAAAGGTCCAAGGTCAAGCTCGAGGCCCCCGCTCCTCGCGCTCCGACGAGTGGGCTGTCTCCGGTGGTCTTCTTCACTTTCGTGGGAAGATTGTCGTACCTAAGGATAAGGACCTCCGGAGACGCATCATCGAGCTCTGCCACGACACTCGAGTTGCCGGACACGCGGGTCGCTTCAAGACCTTGGAGTTGGTCTCCCGGAACTACTGGTGGCCTCAGATGTCTCGCCATATTGGCCGGTACGTCGCGACCTGTGACTTGTGCTGTCGCACCAAAGCACTCCGGAGACTGCCCCACGGAGAGCTGCACCCGACGGAAACGCCCCCAGAGCGTTGGCATACCGTCTCCGTCGACTTCATCGTCGAGCTTCCGGAGGCCCATGGGTACGACGCGATCATGGTCGTCGTCGACACCCTTGGGAAGCGTGCCCACTTCTCGGAGTGTCACACCACGGTCGACGCAGTAGGGGCGGCTCGCCTCTACTACCGGAATGTCTGGCGCCATCACGGGACTCCGGAGAAGTACGTCTCCGACCGCGGCTCGCAGTTCATCGCGGACTTCACCCGAGAACTCTGGCGTCTAATCGGCATCAAGCCTGCCACGTCCACCGCGTACCACCCGCAGACAGACGGTCAAACAGAGCGCGTCAACCAGGAGCTGGAGCAGTACCTGCGGATCTTTACCAACTATCAGCAGGACGACTGGGATGAGCTGATTCCGGCCGCGGAGTTCGCCTACAACAACCACGTTCACTCCTCCACGCAACAAGTCCCCTTCATGATGGACACGGGACGACTCCCGCGATGGGCTTCGAACCCGGAGTCTGTTCCGCTATGGAGTCCGTGAACGAGTTCCGCGACCGGATTGCCACTGGTGTTGCCGAAGCCAAGGCCGCTCACTAAGGCCAAAGAGGAGTACAAGCGCTACTACGACCGGAGACGCACTCCGTCTCCGGAGTTTAAGGTTGGCGACCGTGTTTGGCTGGATGCCTCTGACATCAGGACGACTCGCCCCTCGGAGAAGTTCTCCCACCGCCGCCTCGGACCATTCAAGATAGTCGCGGAGATCAGCAAAGGTGCCTACAAGCTCGACCTCCCTCCGCGCTACTCGAAGCTCCACCCGGTCTTCCCCGTCGTCAAGCTCGAGCTCGCCCAAGACGACCCCTTCGACGGACGCCCCGGCTACGACCAGCCCCCTCCGGACCTCGAGGACGGAGTCCCGGAGTGGGAAGTAGAGGAAATCCTGGACGCAAGGGTGAGGTATAAACGGCTGAATTACTTCGTCAGATGGAAAGGCTACGACGCGTCGCATGACCAGTGGGTCCGCTTCGACCGCGTCTTCGCCCCGGAGAAAATCGCGGAGTTCTATCGTAAGTACCCTGGCAAACCACGGCACATCGCCTCTGCAACCTTCGACTCGATTCCATTCCGGTCTATGCGTCGGGACGCCGCATTCAAAGGGGGGGGTGATGTCAGGGGAACCTCCCTTTCGGCCCCTCGGAGACGATTCCGATTCCGGTCCGACTCCGGTGATCGCATCACCGCCTCCGTCAGGCGCATCGCCGCCCCCGCCTGGCGATCCCCCTGGGACCTGGCCTGCGACATGGCGCAGGCATACTGCACGGAGCAACGATCAACCTTGGCGCGTCAAGAGCGCAGTATATAGTTCCGCTACCTAGCAGGCGGACCCTTAGAGTTTCTTCTCTTTGGATCCTCCCCTGCTAGGTCAGCCTCACTTGTATTTGCTTACTTCTATTCACTCTTTGGATCCTCCCCTGCTAGGACCTTGATCTCAGGCCTCCGGGGTTGCCCTTACAGGCCCCTCCTCCTCCTCCTCTCTCCCGTTCCTGGCCGCAGAGGGGATGGTCGGACATCCCTTGCGGGCCAGGCGCTACTCCTAACCTCCTAGCACTCCTCCCCAACCCCTGGTGTCGAGTTGGGCTCGGCAACGGCTCGATGCGTTGTTCTCAGTCACATGCTTCTCCGAGTCACGTGTGTGTTCCTCCTACTGGGGCGCATGTTCCCCGTCGTCACGTGCTGCGTGTTATGGGCCCGTGGTGGCCCGACACCAGCGCCGGAGAGTACGGGCCGGGTCTTATCCATGACACAAAATGCCAAAAAGTAACTATTTTTTTTTCTGTTTCCATTCAAATGAAATATATTATTTCTTTTGCACGAAAATATGGATTTAAGTAGGTAATTTCAATTCACCTTTCTGTTGGGAAAGAAATTTTTGGATTTGCGGCGCCGGTGTGTTTATATCCATCCAGATACACCGCCCGAACCCATCACAAAACAAAGATATCAGTACACAAAACAGTCGAAGCCCACTGTGACGTCTACCGCCAAAACTCCTTCCTGCGGCGGCCCATCTCGTGATCCCACACATTCTCCGTCTCCATATACCCAGGCTGACTGCCTAACAGGTTATGATATATCGTCGCGCCGCCCGCCTCGTCCCAATGCATGCCGTACGCCGCAACGACCGCGCCAACACCGTCCCAGAACACATCCTTCGCGAGCATGCGCAGGATCTTCAACTCCGGAACGCTGAAGCAGCTGCAGTTGAACACCTCCAGTCGCAGGCTGTCCACATCCTGTGCTTCTGCCGGTGGTTGGACAAGTTGTGTCCTCCGCCGGCGTGCAACACGGGCCTCGAGGTAGCATATAAGCACTTCTACGAAGCGCGCGTTGTCTCGCTCGAAGTACGAAATCGTCGCCGCAGGCGGGCCAATCAGCGGCGCCAGCCAGCCACCCGTGCCGAGGTTAATGCCGTTCAGCCTTAGCGAGTGTAGCGCCGGCAGGAGCGCGCCGTCCGCCTCCGTGTCGTGCAGCATCGCCCAGAGCAGGCCAGACGGCGGGGCACCAACAATAGCAAGCGTCTCCACGCTCGGGATCCGCGCTGCAAACTGCCGCCAGAAGCCCTCTGCGATCATGTGCCAGTTGACAAGCACAAGCCACTGCAGGCCGGCGAGCGCCGCGTCAGTGTCGAACACGGCGGTGATGATGCTGCACATGTCGCCGTCGGGCAGGGAAAGCGTTTCCCATACGAGGCAGACGTCGAAGCGATACTGGCTACTCGCCCAGGCCTCCTTGAGATGCCGCGGCGAGAAGGCGAGTTTCGCGTTCTGAAAGTAGCCGGGCAGGGGCGAGTGGGTAGGAAGCGCCCCGCGGACGTTTTGGTCCGTTCCGTAGACCGACTCGAGTCGCATCGAGCGTGGCTGGCCCACCAGCGCGAACAGCGCCAACAACAGCTGCTTCGTCTCTGTCACTGTATCGAGTTCGATCTGCACTTCCTGTAGTTTCGGCAACATGAGTGCGCGCAGTAGCTTGGTCGCATTGGCAGGTTGTTCGGTACATAGGCCCAGTCTATTCAGACTCGGAAGGCACACTTTTCTGGGATAGTCGTCTGCTTCATACAACGCCAGGTAGCCGATGGACAGCTCCTCCAGGCTGACCATCGGATCTAGGGCGTTGGCGACACGATCCCACGGGTCATTCCACGAGATCTCGTCCAGTCGCAGCGAAACTAGCTGAGGAAGTGCAGGGAGAGACGCAAACAGCCGAGAACCCTTGCCGATGGCCAAATCGCGCAGCTTCGGGTATGCCTCAACGCCATGAGGGAAGACGAAGTCGGCGTCAATCACACCCCAGAGCCAGTCATCATGGTTGTCCCGAACGGCGAGGGCCTCTAGCGCAGGAAACGGCCCCGCAAGCAGCGCTACAAGGAGTTCCGTGGCGTGTATCGTGCAGTAGAACGTCAGGTCGATGCTTGTTATGCGCTGAGCCAGAGCTAACACCTCTGCGATCCGCGGGGCCGTCTTCGAAACATTCGGACTCCAGCCCGTCAGGTCCGCCTCCACCCGCAATGGCGCCGACATGGCCCGCTCAAGGCAGCATTCCATCCACGCCCGCGACGAGCAGATAACCTTGCCCCATAACTGTGGGGAGGCAAGCGCAGTCTGTCGCCACGAAGCGCAGACCTGGCTGCACGCGACCCAGGATATGTCGTTTGGCAGGCACTCCTCCGACAGCAATAGGAAGATGTGCGCCAGCAGCTCGGGCGGGAGGCGATTGACCGGCCTGTTGGGGTTGTGCGCTGGATCCGCGGGCGGGCGGGGCGGCGTTTCGAACGAGATGATGGACTTGGGGGAGCGTGTAAAGCTGGGTGGGGGAGGGGAGCGCGTGTAGAGGCGGGCGAAGGATGACGACGGCGAGGGCGGGTGCTGCAGCTTGGAGCGCCGGCCAAGCACGCCGGGCGGCAAAAATTTGCCCAGCAGCGTCTTTGTCTGGGCCCATAGGCCTGGCGTTGTCTATAGTGAGCCGCGCGTGGACACAGAGGGAGCAGGAAGACGTGCTTACGACGGGGAGCGCGCGTCGCGGCCTTCGCATTGCTGGTGGTCATGGCGGAAGAGAAGCACCGGCTCGCAAAGTTCTCATGTCAACACCGCCATCGGTGGCGATTAGCCGCAGGGACATTCGGCGGGGAGTCGACCATCACCAAGGGGGAGGCGTGGGGGTCGTCATTGAGTCTTCAGTGGTCAATAGCCACATGAGAAGCATTTTGGGGATCTGAGAGCAAAGCACCGTCGATAGCCGTGACGTCACGTCACACGGATCTCGAGACGACCGCATTTGATTTATCCGATAATCATTGATTATCGGACGGGATCGATATCATGCCTCGTTTGGAAACAACCAGGACAATGTATACTGTTCAACAAGGGGGGTTCAAAATTAGGGTCAGAAAGTTTTTTCTGACCCTCTGGGGACCCCTGATATTGAAGTTAACTAAGGCTTTAAATAGTCAAATATCATGGAAAAAAAAGCCAATACACAGATATTAGTTCAAGAGGAAATTGGGTAATGAGATGAAGATAATTGACCATAAAACTCTCTTCTTGCCATACTTAACACTTACAGTCTTTTGATGCGGTCAATTTTCCTTCTATCAAAATTTGGAGTTTAACCCAGACTTATATGAGATATTGTACTTTGGCTGTACTTCATAGTGCTATAATATGTTGGAGATGGAGCCGTGCAGGTTGGCAGGTAATTTCCTATTTCATACTACCCCTTATTACCAATCATATGTGGACCTTCCCTGTTCTTTAGCTCTTATCCCCCAATATACATATTATTGTCACAAACAGAGCTTGATCAAATGATGGGTCAACTGAATGGGTGATCAAGTGATGGCTCTGTTGAACAAGGTAAAGGGAGGATTCATAAGATGGTAGGAGTTTGTTACCAGTGTGATAGACTCCCAATGGGCCAAACAGGTAGGTGTGTTTGGTATAATCAATAAGAACAAAAGGAATAGGGTACAAGAGATCTAGCAGGCTACTTATATACTGTCTGCACCTATGACATCATATAATAGTGAAACAGGTATCAGACTAAACTAGACTGTTTCAGTATAGCACTTGTCATACTACTGTCAGTGCAAGGCTATGGAGTATAACGGAGACATTTGACAGGAACAGTGACAAGCAGGAATGTCATCAGGTGATAATCGGATCACAAAGCGCAGGTATATAGTAGGAATCAACAGAGTGTGACAATTGTCCCTTATCTATCCCCCCTGCCCACCTGTTTTAATTTAATATGCCATGTCAGAGAAACCCCCACTCAAGCACATCTGAGGCACATCTGACCGGTTCTGACCAGTGCCCCTTGGATGCTCTGACCCACCCCAACCATCGTCCATGGCCTCTTTCCCCTGCACAATCACCAATCTGTCAAGACCCTACCAAAAATCACCTTGGGACAAGGCCTGCAATGCCGCTTATTTCGCAAGCCAGGTCCCAGGTAAGGCGGTGATGCACCTGATGGAGACGGTGATGTGATCACCAGAATCAGAATTGGTAGGCAGAAGGGAAGGTTCCCCTCACAGTAGCTTTTACTTATGCTTTGGATCCTCTCCTACTAAGACTCTTGTCAGAACCTCTGGTGTTGCCCCTACATGCTAACATAATAGTGGTTTGCCAATTGAGTCTCAAGCTGCTCATCTGGTCCTGTTTTTCTACCATTATTTATCCTTAAGGAACCCTGCTTTGGCAACCACTTCTTGGCAGAAACCCCTGTGTAAGTAGATTCAAAAGGTATTATAGGTTGTATTAGAGGGAATGTCAAAGTTATTGAACCCTACAGCCTACCTAGGACTGCTTGCCCCCCACTACAGTCAAAGTCATAATTAATCATACTTGTATTTACAAAGTTGCCCACAATAGATATTAGCTATTGATTGATGATCATGACCCAATAATGACTGATTGTCACACTTTTTGCTGGTGTCGCATCTGTCACAGCGACCAAATCTGAAGGTCATAAAAATGAAATAAAATGTCAATATTTTCCAAATGTAAAACATTTATTTATGTTCTCCACTGTTTGATATCCTTCAGTGGTGTATCAACACTGATGGCATCAGCTGTAGGGTTCCACATCCCCTACCGTATACTGTCCTATCTTGATCAAGTGTCTGCCACTTTTTTTCTTTTTCAAAATTTGGGCAAAGGGGTTCAAGATGTAGATCAGGCACATGGGGTAGGGGGGGCCCAGGGGGTAAAAAGAACTTTTTGTATATGAAAGATTTGAGGCTCATATGGGTGTAAAGACACTGAAAATATTGTGTATACACTCTAATTCCCATAGTTTACAACACCCATACTTATATATATATATATACTTTCAGGCCTACTTATAAGCTTGAATAGCCCACCATGTCACAAGCCCAGCAATTGATGGGAGGTGAACATATTAAAGACTTGATATGGCCTGCCATATATGTTTTGAAGGCTTCAGGTATATACATATACATATATGCACACATATAATTTTTTAATTTTTTTTCTAAAGGTTGAAAGTTTTTTTTGCACTACCTTTGATTGCATCAGTGGTCATTAGATGCTGATCATGGGAACTTATTACCCAATATGGCAGGAGGGAGGGGGGTCCCCAGAGGTTCCAACCGTCTATCCAGGATTTTAAAATTGAACTTTTTTTTGAATTTAGAATGGAAATTTTTGCTTTTGATGTAAGCTCATTTTTGGCAAGGACTTTTTTCACCTGTTTAGCCCACAACACACTGTACATTATCAGTGGCAACGACGCAGGTTGCCACTGATAAGCCCCAGCATTATCAGCAATTCCCCAAGTGGCGAATAATTATTGGTGAAGGGGGTAAATAATTGTGAAGTCCAAGGCAAATTTTTCGCTAAGTCCAGAATGTAGGGGTGAATAAAGGTGAATAATACGACATAGGCTATCGGAACCAAGTCCACTATGTGACATGTGACAAAGTGTCCTAAAAAGGAACCTTTGGTCAATAACCACCATTCAGTACCTGTGCCGTGCTGTTATATACTGTAATACGGAGTGATAAGCATGACAACTTTCCAAAAAAGGAAAATTTCACCATTTGATGGTACAATCATCAGACTATGTCACAGATTGTCACAAAACCAAAGTTGTATATTTTGACTATATGAACAACTTTTATTCAGTAATGTATAGTGGCAGCGGAATAGTTGTGGCAGTACCAACCAATCATTCGCTGATTTAACCTTCGTAAGTACTTAATGGAAATACATGATTTAAGTACTGTCAGGAAGGCTTTAAAGAGTATTATCAATAAAATATGGGATCTCATCACCATCATATGATATAATCACTGTAGTTGGTATTTCATCATATAAAAGAGAATATCTGGTACTCCAACATTATAAGGAAGATGACTTATATAGCCAGAGACTCCAAGCTGAGGCTCTAGTGTGTCCATCCCTAATCCCAAGTCAATATAATCCCGATTATGCAGTGTATTTACTTATCAGTGGTATTTGATTTCCATCAACCCTGAAAGATAACCATGGATCTCTAGCTAGCCTGGGTGGATATAATTGGGAGGGAGCTTATTTGAAAGGTATATCATCCTACTATTAGTATGCCCAGTCGGCCATCTCATCTGGTACCATCACAGCAACCTATTGACTACCAAGCATGATTGAATACTGAGTTACAGAGTACTTTACTGATATCTTGGGACCCCATGCATGGGACTTCAGGATCCAAGTTGATATAGTACCATAGGATGGTCCACCACACACCTACCCATTCCCAACCATACAGCAAGTATTAGAGCTGGTCAATTACTGAAGACCTTTAGTACTATATAACCTAGGATGGTGATATGCTGGTGATGAGGGGGCACCACTTTCTAGAAGGTGGATTATACCCCTACTAGTCCATATACTCAGGTTATCCAGATTCACAAAGGCTATGCCATGGTAAACCCATCATGTTTGGCATAGATAACACTGATAATGGTACTGTGAGAGATCCAGATTAGTTATGAGGTTGATTCAAGTGCTGGAAAGGTTCATTTGACAGTCTATACAACCCTACATTCAAGTCTTAGATCATACTTGAAATTAGTTTCTGACCAGTTGTAAGAGCGAAGGCACCCTCTTTTACTCTATGGGTACCTACTCTCTCTTCAGCTACTTTCTGTAACACATGCCAGAACCACAACTAATTACAGTACATAGTCCTAGCACATATCCAAATATACTCATATGCACACCTTAATGTCCAATACTCAGTCTATAGACCTCACTATTCATGTAAACCAGTTTTGTACCAAACCTGTAGTCGAATGTCTGCCCCAATTTATTATTTAAGAGCATACAGTCATCAATCAGAGTATGTGGGGACCTGGATATACCTCATTGACTACACTTGACATATTTTGATCCATAATCAACCAATAGATCATGGCTGTATTGTCAATATGATGTGTAATAGCAGTCATGTGTATCAATGAGAATTACATAAGATTACATAGATAAAACATTATGAGAGGCATAATATCTCTTGGGGGTAACCCTCTGTATGCTTCCTACCTTTATCTCATGGGAGACCGCTTGCCTTCAAGTGAGATATTAGGAGATTGGCATAACACACAATATACTATATACAGGTTTCCACTAGAGCACTCAGCTAAGGATCCAAATAGAACAAGACCCTTGGCTGGGGTGATTCCAACTATGCTACGCGTACAGTGATGTAGCGTAAATCAAGAAGAAAAAGGTGACGTCACAATGTAATCCTCCAGGTTTACACAGATATCCCTAGTAGTACTTCAATCAGCTCTGTGGCCTGTTTAGTTATAGAGATAGAGGGGTATCAGTTATATCTCAGCTGGTGATTGACTAGTCCAGACACTACCATTGAGCCGTCACTATATGTTACTTAATGAAAGTTGTCTGTATAGACAAAATATACAACTTTGGTTTTGTGACGATCTGTGACATTCTCTGATGACTACACTGTCCAATAGCAAAAAAATCCCTTTTTTGGAAATTTGTCATGGATCACTCTATGTTGCAGTATACAACCATATCACATAGTCACTAAAACTACCAGCTCTACTATCTATTGACAAAAGTTCCTTTTTGGGATGTCGTGTCACATGTCACATAGTGTGACTCCAGGAGATTTAGTGAAAATGGCCTGGATTGTATTATTCACCTTTATTCACCCCTACATTCTGGACTTAGCGAAAAATTTGCCTTGGACTTCACAATTATTCACCCCCTTCACCAACAATTATTCGCCACTTGGGGAATTGCTGATAACGCTGGGGCTTATCAGTGGCAACCTGCGTCGTTGCCACTGATAATGTACAGTGTGTTGTGGGCTAAACAGGTGACTTTTTTGGTCAATATGTATAACACAGTCACTTAATAATATAGCGATCAAAGTGGGAAAGTAATAATTTTACATACACTTTGTGAAAATTTCAATTTTCTGCAACTTATTGTGTAAAAAACTGTTTGCCGCAACTTTCCTTTAATGGAAAGCTGCTGATTACAGCTATTCCCAAGATCTGTAGAATATTTTCAGAGTATTATTTTCCACAACTTCTTTTTTCCACAGCATCAACCAATAGCCTGAATGAGTCCATGTCCATATAAAGTAAATTATTAGTGAGGGTAATTCTATGGCCGCTGTTGCTCAGTCAGTCATAACAGCGGTGGGTGTGATACCAGGATGACACCAGTAACTAGCTGGTTGCTTTTTGACTTTGTGCGGATTTCGTGGCTTTGGATGCTTTACCGGCCTTTGAGGCTTTCCCAATGGTGGATTTGATAGCCTTGGTAGCCTTTGTAACAGCAGGCTTTGCAGCCCTCAATGCCTTCATCGTCGCTCACCCATGCCAGGGACCTTGAAGGTGCCAATAAGCACCAGCTCTTACAGTTGCAGACAATCAAAGCTGACAACTTATATTACTCAAAATTAGTATATAGGAATGAAAAACTAAGTGTATAGCTGGAAAGAAGAAATAACCTTTTAGTCCCAGATACCCATCAAATCTTCGACACCCCTAAGATCTCATGCTATCATGATATATGGGGTATCAAAAGAAAGGTCTCATTGAGCTCTATTCAGCTGGACCTGTTTCAGGGCAACCCTACATTTAGTTATGGAGAAATCACGACTTTGATGGCAGAGGGCTGACATGGGAAAAACTAGATAACAGCTTTTGTTCCTAGGCTGTTTTTGCTATCAATGGATATGGCCTTAAATACAACACTTTCCAGGTTTCCCTCCTTGCCTCCCACCCTTACTATGCCCCCTAAATGCAAGTATGGTGGCCATAATATCTCTGGCTTAAGAGGGCAGCAACAAACTATAACTACCTCTTCTACCAATACTAGTGTTGAAAGCTCTTCACAGAATGCAATTGAAATGTATTAGGAATGGTGTAAATACCACTATAGGGAGCATCCTAAAAAACTTGTGAGGAAGCTAAAGAACAGGCCCTTGAGTATCTGGATGGATGTCCTACAGATGTCATTTGTTGCTTTATTCAGTGCTCTTGGAGATTTATGAGTGCATATCATTTAGTATTAACAGGGAAGGCAGCAGTATGGACAGTTAAGAAGCAGAGATCTCACAGAGCATGCAATAGTACAATTTTGGTGGAGCTAGAAAAGGCAGGAGGACATATCTAGTTTTTATTTTATTATTTTCATGAAAATCATTTTTGAGGTGAAAAGGTAGATAAAAGTTTCGGTCAGCAGGTCCAAAATATTCGACACCCCTTGTATGATGTGGGAAATTTACATAAAATACTATATATGGGTTTTCAGACCCTTCAAATCTGAATCTGAACTCAGATTTCCCATAGCAGTAATAGCTGGTCCACAATTTAAGTTTTAAACAGTTGTCAGCTTTGATTGTCTGCAACTGTAGGCTAGGGGTGGCAGTGCCAGGTATTGGAAAGAAATGTCTTGGGGAAAGGCAGGCTATGGTGGTCAAAGTGGGAAAGTAATAATTTCACATACTCTTTGGATGTAAAAATTTCCATTTTCTGCAACTTTTTAAGCAAAAAACTATTTTTGCCATGCCTGTATTGTTGATGTCCTCCCAATTTGGTGCCGGTCCAGAACCCAGACATATGTGAACTGCCTCCACCGCTGGAGGGTTCACCGTTGAGTCGTTGTCCCTCGAGCCACTGCATACCAAGCCCATTCACAGCCTGCCCCCTCCGATACACGGGCCCCACCAACCCTGCATATCGGAGGGGTGCTACCAAGAGCTGGGATATGCAGTCATGCCAGGGACCTTGAGGGTATCAATGAGCATCAGCTTATATACCAGCCGGTAGGGGGCAGTGCCAGGTTGCATACGGAGATTCTCTTGAGGAAAGCCAGGCGGGTGCGGAGAGTGCAGAGAGTGAGAGAAAACAATTGCTGAGTGTCATGTGCGATCGATCGATTGCCCATCACAGCCACTCAGAGCATGTGATGGATAACATCCCTTTCCGACCAAGTCTCCCCGCCCACTGATGACATCAAAAATGATGTGATCGCCGCGGCCCGCAGCCCCGCAGCGCCGCAGCCCCGCAGTTGAATACTGCGGGCCAGTAGATATTTAATGGAGTCCTCCCCATTGTGGAGGACAACTCTTACTTCAATTTATCTTAGTTGTCTACAACTTTACACTCCGTTGCCTCGGTTGACGTGTCAAAGCTCCTCCGACAAGCTACGAAACTCTCCTGACTTTGCACGGCCTCGGTCTGCAAGTATTCGAGAGGTAAGGTGAACTACTTTTGGGTAAAGAGGAGTTCCGAACCGCCTACGCGACAACCACGTCGCGCGTCACTAAGCAGTAAACAAGCCTATTCTCATACATTGGTGGACTCAGCCGGAAACTCCAGAGCATAGTTTCCATTAGTACGTGCACAGTTGTAGTTCAATCTCAATCCTATCCTCCTACACAATCATGTCGGGCTCCTCAACTGAGACCGCTCGACCTCCCGACAACCCCGAATCTACCACCACACCTCCTCCTACTTCGCCCCCGACTCAGCCGTTTGACGCGGCATATAATCACGAACACTTGCCGCCACTGGAAGACTTTGCTGGTGCTCTCCTAGACAGCGACCTTGAGTTGAATAATCTTCCGACAGGAACGACATTCGACCTACCATCGTTGCGTTCCTTGCGCAAGATCGGTAATGATCAGTTTTTGTTGGATCGCCGCCGTGAGGCCATTGAAAAGGGTGCTGCAGCACTGAATAAGCCGTTTTTGCGAAATGCAGAGATCGCACCACGAAGGCTGGCAGAGAAAACCTTCTCAGTGGTGTTCAAACTCCTGGACACTTTGTTGGGGAATTTCGAGACGGTTAATCAGTCCGAAGGGGCAGGAACAGCCTGTCGAGTTAATTTCAATCAGTACTGGGTTCTCACTCAAGCCCTGAACAGACTTTCGGGTGAAGCCGAGTCCTCTTTCTGGGTGGCTGGCGAAAAGGTTCCTCAACCGCCAACTTGGGGTACTGGATGGAATATTCGAAAGGACTGGTTTTCGCAGAATGATCATGAAATCCTGGCGATTTGTTATCGAGTGGAGGTCGAACACTTTTTAACTCAACTAGATAAATACCACGACTATGTCAATGGTACACCGCAAGCGCCTGATGCTGCTTCACGAGAGGCATTAGATCAGGTACTGAAGGACATGAGCTCCTCGAATAACACCAAGTCTTATCGCGCACCAAGCGTCGCCTCCAGCCGAGCACCAACTCACGACTCTTCTTTCCAGTCAAGTCGCTACCCACTCTTCAATGACACTAGCATCCAGTTTAATGCTGGGGGAGTTCCGCCAGCATTTTCGCAGCCGGACAACCGACCAGGCTTGATGCGGGAGCTGTTTGAGCCAGTGCTGCCCAAGCGCGAGTCTGTCCCGCCATCGGGATTTGGACAGGATCGCTTCGGCGGTGAAGCAGAACGTCTACGTCAGATGAGATTTGGATCTGCCATGCCCCGAGATGTCCCTGCTCACCTTGGTTTCGGGTATCCGGCCACAAACGACCAAGCGCCACCTATACGTCAACATTTTGAGTCGCGCGCGCTCCTCCTCGTACCGCAGGTAACCCACCTAATGGCGATCCGGGAGGTGACGACGACCCAGATGATGATCCAGCTCGTGGACCGCCGGGCCGTTTGCCGAACCTTCCTCGGGGTAACCCAGCTAGCGGAGGCCGTATCCCAGCAGCCAATGAGGCCGTCCAGTCGGATGGAAAGGCTGTAAATCCTAAGGAAGATCATTTTGACCTGAAATTGAAGCAGGAAAACGTACCTGCTTGGGATGGAGATGTTGATACAATCTCACGATGGATGCTCAAGGTAAACAACCTTGCGCGCCGTGCCGAGAGTGTGCATCGGCAGCTCGGTACGATTGTCCCGCAGCGTCTGACCGGCGCCGCGGAGATCTGGTACTGGTCTTTGCCCGTTAGCTATCGTTCCACAATTGAAGCTAACTGGGATACCTTGCGTGCCGCCTTTCATGACTATTTCCTCAATCGGAAGTGGTTGGATCGGCAGCGCGGCCGTGCCATGCGTGCCCGTTATCGCGAGAGCGGCCACTCGAAGGAGACGCCGAGCGAATATTACATTCGCAAGACGGAGCTCATCAACCAGGTGTATACCTTAGACCCGTCAGGCATCATCCTAGAGGTAATGGATGGCGCACCGTCGACATGGAACACTGTCTTGAACACACAGCTATATTCAGACCTCGTTTCATTCCAAACGGCCATTCGCTACCACGAGGACGCGTTAATGAAGTTGGACAACAACGAGCGAGAATACGCACGAAGAACGGCACGAACGTGAGCCATATCGCGAACGTGATCGTGATCGTGATAATTCACAATATCGTTCGTATGCTGCTCGAGTGAACGCAGTCGGCTGGTCCTCCAATCTCCCGCCTCCATCATTCCCAAAGGATGATGCGAATGTATCGCGTAAAGCGACGCCGGAGTCCAAGGGTGCACGCCCTTGCCGTCATTGCGGGAGTGGGAAACACTGGGATAACGAGTGTAAGCATTCGTTCAAAGGCAATAAAATTGCTCGTGCGCACCTCGCGTCGGCTTCCGACGGGGCCACGCTAAATGGCCGCGACACGGCCGCAGGGCCGCGATTGCACAGCCACACGGCCGCAGGTAGGCTGTACGGACGTGGCTGCCACAGTAGAGCATAGAGCTGGGTGCAGGTTGGTCAAAGGGGACATGTAGTGCTAAAATAAATCAATCGCGGCTCGGTTTGACGCAGAGAAACGACTTAAGTATTGACATGTCGCGGCAGTACGGCGGCCATGTTGCGGCCCTGCGGCCAACTTCATGTGGCTGTACCTTCATGGCCGCAGCCATCCAAGATTTTGTCGCGGCCTTGATGCGGCCTTGCTCATCAGGGAATTTGCGCGTTCCCGGTCAACGTTGGCCAACGCTTACCAACACCATCAGCACGACCAGGCTGGGGACCCTGTTGGCCAGCATTGGTTTGGTGCTTACCAAAGGCACTCACTTTCGCCAACACTGGCTACATTGCCGCCAACTGGTGTGTTTCTGGTCATGTACACGCCACTAGGGTGTGGAACTGGCTTGCGCGGTGGACAAATGGACAGTACGGCGTGTATCTAGTCAGATGGAACCCAATTCATTCGCATTCCCATAATTTCTTATATTCAAAAGCAAATAATAGCATAGAAAATGAAATGTATTTTGCGAGAGGGTTACAGGCCAGGTATTCTAGATATTCGAGCGCTCCAGAGCGGCGCGCTGCGCACGCAGCGTTGCGCGGGAGCTGACGGAAGGGCAGGTATGTGCTTGCAGATGACGCGTGAGTTTTGAAGAGTTTACTAACGGCGCGTCAGCGTGGTTTAGACCAAACCAAGAGACATACCTGTTCCACCAAGCCAGCAAGGCATCGGTCCTCTTCCGCGCTTCGGTTCCAGGAGCCGGCTCCTCGAAGTAATCGACGAGAAAATCGTACATTTGCGGGAGGGAGACGCCGGCATAGACTTCGGTCCATTCATGGACATTGAGGAGAGACATATACAACTGTATTTGGTGTCAAAATGGGGGCAAATGAAGTACAGAACACGCACCTGGATAGCGCCATATGCGATAACACGCCCAGTTATCTTGCCGTTGAGCCCTGCAAGCTCCGCGCAGGTCTTACGAGTCCCCTTTTTCGTCTTTGCCTTCTTCGTCGGTGGCTGGTTCTCGTCATCGTCGTCCCACGGTCTCCGTTGTAGCAAGGAGTATCGCGGAAACAGTCTGGAAATGAAGGGGTCAATACATAACTTTGGAGGCAACTGAATACACACCCGAAGCAAGTATCGGCTCTTGAGGAAGCCCTTTTCAATATCCTCCGGGTCCCCGCGGAAGCCAGCATAGAAAACACGGGCGTAGTAGGACGGTGCCAGCTGTTGCCGCCCTTCGTCGATGGCTCTTCGAATCCTACATGACAGGTTGTGAGAGTGGAAGAAGCAAGTGACAAGAAGTCACACACCTTTCATCCTTCCAATCGACTTCGATGCTCGACAGCAAACCGCCGGTTATATCGTGGCTTCGTCCCGCGACCGCGGCGGTCATCAGGGACCAAGTAGGGGGCTCGCTTTCGGATGATGACAGTGTTGCCGTCTTGGTCGGTCTCTTCGACTGCTGGTGTGTAGTCAAATGTGCGAATGTCAGCAGTGTTTGTGCTGATATCGTTGTTAATCCAGCTTGCGACGAGCTCAGTGATCTTGGCAAAGTCCTCCGAGCGTCCAGTATTTGCGCCTCGTTGGGCCTACGAGATATGTGAGTAAGTTGGCTGGCGTTGATGGATACTAACCGTCTGGAGCCAGGCATCCAAGTCCTCAGCCGGCAATGATGCTCGCTTCTGAGCCAAACCTGGGAGGAGACGGTGGATGATGAGGTTGGCTTCATAGTTGCGCTCGTCGCTGGAAGGTGCGTGAATCCTAGGCCTGTCAATGATGTAGCACTCACGCGCGTTTCTCCTTCCAGAAACTTGTCCTTCTCTTCCTCACTGTAGCTCTCATCCACGAACATCACCTGGATTTCGTCGTTGGTGCCATATGGATCGTCCTCCAGCTTCTTGGCCTCAAGGAGGATGGTCGCAATGCTTCCAAAGCAGGCAGCAACCCGACGGAGTGGACGACCACTAGCAGATACGGATTTGACTCTGTCCAGAGTCAATGCCGTTGACCACAAGAGAACAGAGAAGGTACATACGGGGGGGGCTTTACGCTTGCGACCCGCCTGAACAGGACTATCGGCACGACCAGCGGTGGGGGAGGATGAAGGAGGTAGGGAAGAGGAGGGTCGATGGGAAGACGCGCCATGGCGGCCACGAGGAGGCGAGCGCGAACGAACGCGAACGCGAACGCGAACGAGAGCGTGAATGACGACGGGAAGGCATCTAGGTGTGGGTAAGTCATCGAAGGAGGGGCAGGCAAGATGTACCAGAGGCGGGCAAGGGCAAACGTTGGTGGGGGTTAAGAGCAAAAGGTAAGAAGCCCCCCGTTTTGCTTTTATCCAGCTCATTGCCAAGATAATCAACAAACTGGAGCAAGTCACGCAGGGATCGTCTTGTCTCAGACGCGCGCGCACCGATCGTCGTAGCATGCTGCATGTGATCGTAGCGCATAATGCATTTGACTAATACCCCTTTTTTCTCACTTGCCTTCCGACGAAGCCTCAATCTGTGCGACAACGCTGAATGCTGCCCTCCGGGGCATCGACGACAGCCGGTTTGCCGCAACAACGTTACCGCATACTTGGCCTCATCCTCTTCCTTACCATCATGGTATTGAAGTGTGTCTGTGGTCAGACTCGCGAGAACCCATCTACCCTCCGGAGGCACGAAGCAACATGTGAAGAATACCGCACACAGATAGCACAGCTTGCAAAGCCTGGAACAAGCACCGTGTCCGAGACCAGCAACGGCCCACGTTTACCAGGCCTTACCAGCAGACGACGAGGGAAGGGCTATAGTGACCCACAAAGAGGAGTACCACGGCACCCTACTGGAGCCGGCGCGGAATTGGATCCAGTAAGCACTCTCCGAATGGCTAGATTAGCACTGCAGTCTCATCTATAATCAGGCTCCCGGCTCCTCTGGGCTGCAACCTATGCCTTCACCCGACTTAAATTTGGAATCGACTACGTTATCGGCAGTCAATACTCCTCAGCCAGATGTCCCGCCCCCAAACAATCCATCATCTCCGGGTCCCTCACTTGATGATCCACCTGTTCACAATACTAGCCCCCCGCCGCCGCCGCCCCTCCGCCTCCGCCTCCGCCGCCGCCTCCACCTCCACCTACCAATAATCCCCCACCGACCACTCAACGTCCCAAGCGGACGGCTCGTCTCCCTGCTCGCTATCGGGAGGAACTTCCCGAGCAACTTGTACCTGCCCAAAATCTCGAGCAAACTTCGATGCCCGAGCCAGAAGAACCCGTCAGTGTACATCGAGTGCATCTTATCGTCCGAGACACATTCCGGACAGTCGTCAATCGATTCCATCTCTGGCGCTCTTATCTTCACCGCCCAAGCTATGACCCGGATACTCTTCTCCGTTCTGACGACCTTTGCGATTACTTCACACCCCCATACGATGTCAACGGACAACTGCCAGCCCCATCGAATCTTCCAGCCCCACCGGCTAGTACATTGTCTGTCAACACATCGGCATCACTATTGCTTGGCTGGCAGAACAACGGCCATACGACCAAGTCGACCAGTCAGCTAAACGCTCTTGTCTCGGATGTACTATTGCATCCTGAGTTCAATGTCAGTGATTTGCGTGGATTTCGCGCAGAGCAGGCAGAGAAGGCTGCGGAGAAGGCTGCGGAAGAGGCGTTTCCGCTACTCCAACAGTTCCAGCAGACCAGTGTCGAAATCGAAGTACCGTCTGGCTCTGCAAGTATCCCCTCCCGTATGATTGCAGTCCCTGGCTTGTGGTACCGCAGTCTTATGTCGGTAATCAAGCTAGCCTTCGCAGACCCGTTATCTCGCCACTTCCATTACACCCCATTCAAACTCTTTCATCGAGTTCAGAGTACAGGCGAAGACATTCGTGTCTTCAGCGAACTGTACAATTCTGATGCTTTTATTGAGGAGCACGATAACGTACGGTTTCACGCTGAACTCCCGCCAGACGAACCAGACTGTAAACTCGAAAAGACAGTGGCGGCGCTTATGTTTTGGTCGGACTCCACGCATCTCGCCAACTTTGGGACAGCAAAGCTATGGCCAATTTACCTTCTTTTCGGGAACCTCTCAAAATTTTTTCGCGATAAGCCAAGTTGCAGCGCCCGAACATCATGTTGCGTATATTCCATCGGTCAGTTTCTTAACGAACATTCTACAACGGACGCTGACGGCTCACATTTTAAGCTTCCCGACTTTATCCAAGACATCATCTCTGAATTCCACGTTAAATGGCGAACTCAGAAAGATGATATCCTGACACACTGTCGACGGGAACTGATGCACGCAGTATGGAAATTCCTTCTCGATGATGAATTTCTTCACGCATATCGATATGGAGTGGTAATTAGATGTGCCGATGGTGTCGAACGGCGAGTATACCCTCGAATATTTACATATTCTGCAGATTATCCAGAAAAGTATGTTATTGCTGGTCACTGAACAAACACTGACGAATTCAGGGTGCTGCTCGCAACCGTTCGGGATGGCGGCTTATGTCCCTGCCCGCGTTGTCTCATCCCCAAGAAAGAGATGCATCTCATGGGTTTTGTGCGTGATATCAGTGCTCGTATTGGCTCGAAAATACGCCATTATCTAACGTCAGCGGTCAAAAATGCTCGAGATAAAATCTATCGTCTGGCGTATGGCATTGGCTCAACTGCTGTCGAGGATTTATTGAAGGAAACTTCGTCGGTCCCAACCAAGGTCAGCTCTCAGCAAAAGCATTTATATCATAGCCTTATTTACTCAATAGAATGCATTTATCGAGAGGCTCGGCGATGACTTTCAGCTTCACCGAATGCTTGTCGTTGATCTCATGCATGAGTTCGAGCTCGGCGTCTGGAAAAATACATTCACACATCTTATTCGGCTCCTTCACGCGCAGCCAGATGGGACAGAGCTTGTGAGCGAGCTCAACAGACGGTATATAAATGGTGTAATCAAAATACATGCTTACAACATTTACAGTTATCGGCTTATACCCACTTTTGGGCTCGATACCATCCGTCGCTTCCCAAATAATGCGTCGGAAATGAAGAAGCTGGGCGCACGGGACTTCGAAGACCTCTTGCAATGTGCAGTTCCGGTTTTCGATGGCCTCTTCCCCGAAGAGCACAATAGCCGGATTTTGAAGCTGCTTTATCGTTTGGCTGAGTGGCATGCTTTTGCAAAGCTCCGAATGCATACAGATCCAACCCTTGAACATCTGCGGCTTTTAACACCCGAAATTGGCCGCCTCATGCGCGACTTCAAAAGGACTACGTGTGCGGCTTTCGAAACGTATGAGCTGCCACGAGAACAAAATTCGCGCAACAGACAAAAGGCCGCAACCGCCGCAAAGCGGGCCGGACGTGCGACGACGTCCCAACTGGATTCCGAGCCACAAAAGATCAGCAAAAAGCGCAAGACACTCAATTTAAACACATATAAGTACCACGCAATGCCCGACTACGCACCTACAATTCGCCTCTTCTCGACTTCAGATGTTTATTCAACTCGTTTGGTTGGTCGACACCGTTCCAAGTCTAATATCCATTTGCTAATTCTATTATCAGGGAGAAAGTCTTCACCGACTTGTCAAGCGCTTGTATTCCGTAACCAGCAAGCGCGACCATGCGCCGCAAATTGCAAGGCGTTTTATGCGAATGCAGCGCGCTCGGTGGTCTCAAGCAGTCGAAGGCTATAAAGCTCGGACCCAGAATCGACAGCCGGGCAAGCGGAATACAGGGCCACGTCGAATGAAGCGGTCTGAAATGTTTTTCGCCGATCCATACGGCGCCAAAGCTCTCGAGATCCATCACTGTATCAGCTTGTCACGCCGCAAGCCACTCAACCTGTATACAGACTTCAAACCCACTGACTCAGATCCTGCAATGAAGGTACTTGACTTCCGCTGCGGCTGCATAACATTGACATAGCAATTTCAGCACTTCATTCCTCGCCTACAAGATCATCTACTTGCTCGCATTCTCAACCTCGCATTCGATGGCGATGAGCATACTTTCTCAGATGCCGATCGCCGCACAGTCGACATACGCGGAGACAAGATCTATGCTAATAAGCTATTTCGGGTCAACTATACAACATACGACGTTCGCCGAGACCAGGACGTTATGAACTCCGGCGCTCTGCCCTTCGTAATGGTCCACTCCCCCAATGCCGGACATCCTGGTGCTCATCCATATTGGTACGCGCAAATCCTCGGCATCTTCAACGCAACTGTCTCTCTCGTCTCAAACACAACTCGGACGACGCCAAGTCGGATGGAGTTCCTTTGGGTTAGGTGGATGGGGGAAGAGCCATGCTATGTGGCGGGTCTCCGGGAGGGTCGCCTACCCATGGTGGGATTTGTTCCGGACACCGATCCAGCCGCATTCGGATTTCTTGACCCAGAGCATGTCGTTCGCGGGGCACACTTGATGCCCGTCTTCTGTCGTGATCGCACAACGGAGCTTCTGCAGACACAGCAAAAGACAGCTGCACGACTGTCAAGCGAGAAGAGCGACTGGAATAACTTCTACGTGGGCATGTGAGTCTGCGCTCCTGCCCTGCCATCAGCGTGCCCTACTCACCGCTGATAGATTTGCCGACCGCGACATGGTGATGCGGTATGTCGGTGGTGGTATAGGTCATCTCGATCGCGGCCACGGAGAGCTGATGGTAGAGGACGCAACACATGAAGAAGAGGGCGATATTGAAGACGTCGAGGAGCGGCCCGGAAGCACAGAGAGTGATTCGTCTCAGTCAGACACAGAGGACTCACAAGACTCGGAGTCGGAGTCGGAAGAGGACATGGATATCGATGGTAGTGGGGCAGCATTTAACGAAGTCGAGTCCGATGACGAAATGCAGCTTGATTAGATGCCATTTCTGTGGCAGATACAACCAGCCTAATAAGTACTTGACCGGGGCAATACCTACTGGGATGAACCTGCCCAGCGCTGGCCAACCGTTGGCCAACTTACATCTGCTCGGTGATGTATTGGCCAGCTACCTACTGACATGGGAACAATTGGCCAGCATTGGCCAGCGTTATACCAGGATGAATCATGGCTGACCATCTGCACCAGCGTTCATCAGCCGCGTGCAAATTCCCTGATGCTGCGGCTGTGCTGCGGCCATGTCACACATCAGTGAGATGGCCGCAACATCAGTCACACAGCCGCAACCTGAGTCTTTCCGACTCTCGCCCTCCCGCTGGCCACACTTTGTCGAATATCAACACTCTCAGAAACTCCAATTCGAAAATCTGGGCTGAATACAACTTTGTAGCAGTGCTATCGCGATTCGCGTCGTTCAAGCGCGACAAGTTACATATCATGAATTGCGACCTCATACTTTGGGCTAATCCTATGTGAATATGTTCCCGGGCCCTGCGGCACACTCAGGCTGCAGGCAACATTATTGAATCAAGATTCAACACTCAGCCTGAGTCCCGCCGGCGCACTGGAACTAACAAACATGACTCGGGCACTGGTACATTGCCAACCGTGGCTGAAGTAAGCTGAGTACCAGTATTCGCCTTCCTGTCTTCTTTTTCTCATTTCGAAGTTGTGCGGCCAAGTGCAATGGAGCGTGACGGTGGTTGCGGCCATGTCGCGGCCCTACGGCGGCCTTGCGGCGGCTGTGTCGCGGCCATGTCGCGGCTGTCGCGGCCATTTCGTCTAGCCCCTTCCGACGAGGAGCTGGACGCTCAGGATACGTACGACGACCTGTACTACAGTCTTGAGGCTTCATCGTCCGATGAACAGGGTTTTGATATTGCCCCTCGGATTACTGAACCTGAATCCGGCGTCGTTTACTCGAACGCGACCGGACTTGGGAGTAATTCAGCCCTGGGGGGAAATACTGAGTCAGAAGGCTCATCCCGAGACACGGACATACCGGAAATGGCCACACATCAGGACGACTGCCCGCACCGTGTTGACTCTGCTACCGGCACCGCATCGCTTGACACGCAGGATGCTCCGGTCGTCGAGGCAATGACCTATACTTCGAGGTCTTCACTGAATCGACGTTCTAGACGACGGTTAGCACAGGAGATCAAAGCGGTGAACTTCAGAGTAATGCACACACCTTACCAGGGCAATAGCTCGGTCGTTGAACTGCGTAAACACATGGCGCGACCTCCGGGAAGCGCTTTCCTCGGCGCATCAGCTACCGAGGCGCTCGCAACAGTTGGAAGTTTGAACGCAGATCCAGTCAAGGTAATTATTGACTCTGGATCGGACATTACTTTGATTTCGCGCAAAACGTTGGACGGACTCACCAATCCACCCAGAGTTAAAGCTGGACACGACATAAAACTCATCCAGGTTACGGGCAAGTCAGCTATATCAGGCTTCGTCAACTTGGACCTGTACTTCACGACTGACGACGGACCTGTTAAGCTGAATATCGAGGCCTACGTCGTCTCCGGCATGCAGACGTCACTCATTCTGGGCAACGATTTCGCAGATCAGTACTCTATTTCAATTCTGCGTCACGACGGCAAGTCTTACCTGCGGTTTGGTGACACTGGACGTCAGCTACAGGTGGAGTCTTCGACTGCACCAAGTCTGCTAGACGATGAAGGCCATGCCTTCAAAGTTCAAGTGGCGAAATCTGCCGCAATGCTTCCCAAGGGTCCCAAGGCAAGCATACATCGCCGAAATAAAAAGCTGAGACGAAGAGCCAGCCTCCGTAAACAGAACCGCGAGGTTTGGGCTCTTGAGCGGACTGTGATTCCGCCCGAGTCGAGCGTTGCTGTGCGTGTCCATGCTTATTTCCGACAGGGACAAGACGTGCTGTTTGTCGAGCGTCAGCTGAGGACAAACGGCAATGCAGACGATTTATATGGAGCTGCCGACTCACTCATCTCCAGCGAGAACCCAATACTGCATGTCGCTAACTTCTCCAAAGCACCCGTCACCATCTCAGCTGGCCAAATCCTGGGTGTCGCTCGGAATCCTTCAGGCTGGCTGGACAGGATGAATCAGTATTCATCAGAACAGCAGGAGCAGATTCACGCACACGCGAATCTCGTTCGCAGCCTAGCGGAGGACGTCGAAAGAACAGAGATGAGGGGAGCGGAAGAGAGTCATCCGTCATCACACGCTGTCTTCGGCCATGAGGCGAAGATCCCGATCACTGCTGACGCGTCCACTGTGCGCTCGCGTACAAGCATCTCCTCAAAGGCCCAACGCAACGCTACAGAGCCGGATGACCCGCTAGCAGAAGAACCACTCGAAGGAGGGCCCAAGACCGCGGAGACACCGCCAGAGGTAATCGATACAGCAGAACTCCTGAAGAATATCGACATCTCGGCGAATGTGACCTTGGATCAGCGCCGACAGCTGGAAGAAGTGGTGATTCGCAATGCTAAGGCTTTCGGCTTGGATGGGAGACTGGGGAATTACGACGCACATGTGGATATTCCCATGAAACCAGGTGCCGAGCCTGTTTCTCTGCCGCCGTTCCCGGTTTCTCCCGCCAATCGAGAGGTAATCGATAAGCAGATGGACGCTTGGATCCAGTTGGGGGTTATCGAACCATCAAGAAGTCCCTGGGCGGTGCCTGTTTTCATCGTTTACCGCAACGCGAAAGCCACGAATGGTCATTGATCTCCGCAAAACTCAATGAAATGGTCATTCCTGACGAATTTCCTTTGCCCAAACAAGATGACATTCTGCAAGCGTTATCTGGATCTCAATGGCTGACGACCCTCGACGCTCTTGCGGGCTTCACTCAGCTGACAATGACCGACTCTGCTGCCGAAAAATTGGCTTTCCGAACTCACCGCGGCCTTTGGCAATTCCGTCGCATGCCTTTCGGGTACCGCAATGGACCCAGCGTCTTCCAACGTGTGATGCAGAACGTGCTTGCGCCCGTTCCTATGGATCTTCGCGTTGGTCTATATTGATGACATTGTTGTGTTTTCGCTGACCTTCGATGATCATCTGCAGCATCTGGACAAGCTCTTCGGGGCAATCTCCGCTGCTAATATCACACTCTCACCACCGAAATGCCACTTGGGTTACCAGTCGCTGCTACTTCTGGGCCAGAAGGTATCACGTTTGGGTCTCTCCACTCACAAGGAGAAGGTCGATGCAATCATCCAACTTGCGGAACCTCAGAACGTACGTGATCTGCAAGCATTTCTCGGGATGATGGTATATTTTTCGGCTTACATTCCATTCTACTCCTGGATAGCGCAACCCTTTTTTCAGTTGCTCAGGAAGGGAGTGCAGTGGGAATGGTCGGACTTGCACCGGGAAGCTTTCGAATTGTGTAAGCAGACACTGACGAATGCACCGGTTCGTGGTTATGCCATAGCGGGCCGGCCTTATCGTGTCTACACAGACGCGTGTGATTACGGTCTGGCGGGCATTCTTCAGCAAGTCCAGCCTGTCATGATCCGCGATCTTAGAGGGACGCGGACATACGAGCGGCTACAGCGGGCTTTCAAGGCGGGTGATCCAATTCCTGCTTTGGTAACTGGCATCAAAGGTGTCGAAGATGTGCCAGCGCCCGGCGATTGGGCTCCCGCGTTTGAGGAAACCACTGTTCACATTGAACGCGTTGTCGCCTACTGGTCCCGGATCCTAAAATCCCCGGAGCGCAACTACTCCCCCTACAGAACGCGAAGCTTTGGCACTAAAAGAAGCGCTGATTAAATTCCAGCCGTTTCTAGAAGGGGAAATCGTGGCTGCTATAACGGATCATGCCGCTCTTACCTGGAGCCGAACTTATCAGAATGTCAACCGCCGATTACTAACCTGGGGGACAGTTTTCGCCGCCTACCCCGGACTCAAGATCGTTCACCGCGCAGGCCGGGTGCATTCAAATGTTGATCCAGTCTCACGCTTACGACGGCGCGTCCCTATCCAACAATCACCACTCACCGACAATATTCCATCTATCGAAATCTCGACCGACGACCCACTCAAAAACATGTACGAGGAGCTTGGGCCTCATTTTGAGGAGAAGTTACTCAGGGTGGCCACCAAGGTGACCCAGGAAACCGAGGAACCACCAGCACTTGGGCCGGTCACGATTGCAGCTGACAGCTGTGATCTGCAAGATGTGCTCGAGTGCCCTTACTGCACTTCCCGATCATTCTCCGTTGTAGTCAGCATCTCCGATGAAGCACGGGCGACGCGGCGGCTGGTGGACGGTTGAAGGTGGACGCGAGAGGGCGAGGATGGAGGTGGAAGGAAAGCCAGAAACGCTGAATAAGCGTTAGTAAGGCTGAGTAAGGCTTGCCTAAGCTGCTCACCTAACGCTTACGAATCGTCAAGGAAACGCAGCAACGAGGGATAGCCTCGCGAGGCGATACGAGCAACGGAGGCGGTACGGCGAGTCCGCAGCAGCGTGACGGGGTGACGGGGGCAGGAGTATATAATGGGCCCATAATGTACCTAGAAGGACAGTGAATCCCAGTTGGATTGCATTCATAGCCTGCGTACCAAAGGGTAGGGGCTTTCGGACTAAGAACGCGACTACGAGAACACGGAAACGGAACGACTACGGCCCGAAGGGCATTTGTATACGATCGTTGACAGACGCCGCCTGTCAATCAAAGAACCGATAACGCCGTCGGACCGATACTGAATTGCACAACTATATACGAGTACCTACCGTTCCCACGACCCTTGCCGCTGCGCGCGGACAAAGTCTACACCGTTACTATCCACAAATAACACAAACTATCGACTATCTCCTGGATTGCAACTACTGTATACTTCAGTAGGAGCCCCCGAACACACACACAAACGTTACCGAGCATTGTATTGGAAGGATTAATTACTACATTGGGTTGTTGGAGTTGTTTTGTTTTGGTTTTGGTTTAGAGTGAGTGTCAGAGTCACCTTTTCTCTTCACCTCCCTAGTGTTTCATCTGGTCCTTTCCTTTCCCACCCACACCCCGGTTTCCCGCGTTTCATCTGGAGCCCACCGCGAGGGGGTTCATCCAGAATATTCGACAAATATTATATTGTGTTGACCACATATAATCACGAGTTCAAGACTATCTGCGGCTTATATTGCGAGAAATTTGGAACGAGATAAGGCACGTGACCGGGCAGAGCGCTGGTCAGAATTACGTAATACACAAGTCACAACTGGTCACACAACATCAGTTACAACAAATAATTCAACAACTACTGTACCAGGACCTGACACAACTACTACTGAGGTAGTTGAAGAAGACTCCTTTGAACTAGAAGGACACATACTGGCTGTGTTGCCTTCTATCCTTGAAGAACCTTTGCTTAGAGAAGAACAAGACTTTGATCATAGTACTGAAGATCATCATAACTGGGTACCATTGATTGGTAACAGGAATACATCCACTCCTTCATTGAACATTTCATCATCAAATAACTCACAAGAGGTGGAGCATCAGGAGAGAGTAGGAGCTTGGGTTGAATTATTGGCTTCTGCACTTAGGCCAGACCCAGAAGATATCCCTGAAGATAGTCCAGAGGGAGAAGTTAAACAAGAAGAACAAGAACAGGACCTTGGAGACACAAACCTTGAGCAGGCTCTAGGATTTGACTTTGAGAATCCAGACAACTACCACAACTGGGATAATCAACTCCCATACACAACACCTATACCTGATTCACCAAGTTCCAGTACATCTTCTTCATCTTCATCTTCTTCTTCATCCAACAACCAAGCACCAATGGCTACAAACCAGGCTAGCAATGGGAATGCTGCTACATTTAAAATACCAAGACCATGGGAAACAGGAGTTCCTAGGTTCACATCAGAAGACAAGAATGATCTGATTGATTTCCTGGATCAGGTTGATGATATGATCACCTTAGGAAAGGTCAATCAGGACCAAGAAAAGAAGACTATGTTGACCAGTTACCTTTCCAACAAGAGGAAAGAAGAGTGGAGACTCTTGACAGAGTACACTGATATTACCAAGACATATGAAGAGTTCAAGAAGGCTATCAAGAAGATCTATCCTGAGGTAGAGGAAGACAGGTTGGGTACCATGAAGGACCTGGAGGAATTATGTGACGAGTATTATGGCATCCGTCACACTCAGGAAGGAAAACTTACCAGATTTGGATTGAAGTTCAAGGCTTTGATCAAGAAACTTCAGAGGAACCCTTCTATAATCCTGAACAAAGAAGCTTGCAGAAGATATCTGGATACTCTGGAGAAGGAGTTTGCCAGATCTTTGAAGACTGTCATGCATACCAAGAATATTCTCAAGGAGGAGACACCTCCTGCAGCTGGAGCAGCAGCAACTTCAGACAGAAAGGAGGATCCAATCAAGCTGGATGACTTGATCAAGTTGGCTGAAAGATATGCCAAGACCAATGGGGGAGACACTACCTATGACATTGGTTCACCTACTGAGGTCAGAAGATCAGAGAAATTCCCACGGGTTAAATTGGAAGAGCGTGATGTCAGGCTTGATGATCTTGAAGGACAAGTCTCTGGTCTGAGGGATATGGTTGATGCTGGGCAAAGGCAGACCAAGTCCTCTATTGATGAATTGGTTAAGGCTTTCCAAAATCAGAGGAATAATCCACCGCGTGACCGTGACGATCAAGATCAGCGCGACAGGGCACAAAACTCTTATGGCCAACAGGATAGAGGCTATAACAACAATAGAGGCTATGGAGGAGGCATGAACAGAGGTGGTAATGGTGGTGGCAACAGCAGCTCTAGTTGCTACTACTGTGGAGACCCAGACCACTTTGCAAGAGATTGTCCAAGGAAGCATCAACACCTGATGAAGGGCTGGATTGTTGTGGAAGATGGCAAGCAGAGGTTATCTGATGGCAACTTTATTCCACCAGGACCAACACCAGTAGCAGTCAGAGTTGAGGAATATTGGCAGAGAAAGGGAGCTGCAGGCCAGCACTATTATGGTGATGGCTCATCAAACATCAATGATGATGAGTTTGATATGCTCAGAGATGAAGTCAGGACTATCCATGTCAAGCTCAGTCAGCTTGCAGACAAAGGTGGACCCACTTCAGATAATGGGAGATATGCAGCACAGCCCACATATATGGCACAGAATGCACCTATGCCTATGAATTCTCAGTCAACACAAGCCCCAATGATGGATATGGAATCTTTTGGCAAGGCAGTGTTCAATATGATGAATGCTCAAGGTGGACCCTCTATTCAGTTTGCCCAACAGAAGAAGAACAGAGGCAACAATTCACAAGGTTCGGGTTTTTAGAGACCTCGATGAAGGA